ATGCCCGAACTTATCTCTGACTTCCCTCAGAATTGTCTCACTTGACTACTCACGTTGTACCAGGCCTCGCTTGGCTATTGTCATGTCTATTCTTAGGAAACAGATTTCTGGGCATACTTACATTTTCAACACATTTTTATATACACATAAGCAAGCATCAGCTCTACAGGCTAGGATCCCAAACTAACACACACAGCCTGGGCTGACTAATGTCACCACCCAGGCTGTCTTTAAGCCCTGGCTTCAACCATGCAGTCATTGTGATCTCTGTGTTTATGTAAAGTCTGCTGCAGTTTCCACGGTATGCATCCGATGAAGTGAGCTGTAGCTCACGAAAGCTCATGCTCAAATAAATTGGTTAGTCTCTAAGGTGCCACAAGTACTCCTTTTCTTTTTGCAGTCATGAAAGTGATCCAGATTAGGATCCTCAAATGGTTTAAATCAGGATAGCTTACTCTTCAATAGAGTGATGCTGATTTATACAAGCTGAGGCTCTGACCCTCTTAGCCTGTGTGTAGGGTAACACCACTCTTACTGGCCTGTGTGGGTGATGCACTGAAGGGGGATCTTCAGGGGGCTAGGCAGTACAGCAGTGTCATGTAGTATCTGTTTCAGCAGCTGCATTGATCATTGGGATGGTACTTTGGGCCACAGGGATTCAAGTCTGATAGACACATCGACTTTAAGGCCAGAAGGGACCAGCATGATCATCTAGTCTGACCTCCTGCATGTTGCAGACCACAGAACCTCACCCACCCATGAAATGTTTCCCTTCTTGCCATTCCGCTAAGCTGGCTTCTAGGCTATCTAAGGATCTATCTCAGGGATTCATCTGGCCCCATCATTGCACTGTCTGAGCATCTCGCCGTCTTTGATGTATTTATCCTCCCAAACCCATGGGCAGCATGGCTGGGTTGTTATCCCCGTTTTGCAGTCGGGGAATGGAGGCACAGGCTAAGTGATTTGCCCAAGCAGGGATTTGAAGCCCTTCTCCAAAGTCTCAGGCTAGCACATAACCACTGGACCCTCCTATTCCAAGAGAGGAGCCTGAACCAACAGCTGGCCTGTGTGCCACCCACAGTGAAGTAGTTTGACTCTGGAGCCACACTGGGCTCCTCCCCACAGGAGATGCCGTGAATCAGGGACAGCGACAGCTGGGCCTCAGCGCAGTGTTTGGGTGGACGCAGCCAGTGTCTCCTCTCTCTGCTTGGTGGATCCAGCCCAGCTTCCATCGCCTGGCTGCCAAGGCACAGACGAGGGGGGGAGGAGATGGTGGGAGACCTGGTTGTGGGGCAGTGTGTTGTATCATGTAAATAAATAGCCTTGCCCCCCCACAAACTGTTTATGTAAAGAGGAGATGGGGGGAGCCAGCCATTGATGTCACAATCGTGCCATTCAAGGTAGTTGGCACCAAGCCCCGACTGAGAGGAGGGGGCTGAGGAGAAAGTCTAGGCTCCACATATAGAAGAATTACTGGAAGCTGGTTTCTATAAGCAGATCCCCATGAAAAAGGCAGCACTGGGGTAAAATAAAACCTCCCGCCACTCTGGAGGAGAGAAACAATGGCCCCTGGAAAAAACAGGTGGTAAAAATAGAACCAAGGCCCTCCCCATCACAAGGCCAAGGGGACAGACCGGCTGGGGTCCTGTGGCCACCCACACAGTCATATTTACAGGACACCTCGTGCTGTCACATAGGGGCTGGACTTGTAATAGGATTGAGTTATTCTTACGAGGCTGGTGGTAGACTTTTTGGCAGTTAATTTCCAGTAGCTCCTGATAAGATCATCTGGGCGTGTGTGTGTGCGGGAATAGCGTTGCCAACAGTCCCGTATTGCAAGGGAGGTCCCGATATTGAAATAGAAAATTGCCCTGTCCTATACTAAATCAGTGCAGGGCACCTTGTATCCCGTCTCGCAACATATTACAAATATTCTCATTATGCAAAGCCAGTTTGATTATTCCCTTACCGTCCAATGATACAGAGTTTGTAACATGAGCCAATGTCATAATGCAGAGCCAGTCCCATGATTTACTGAACCAATGTACCTATAGCACAGAGGTTCCCAAACTCTGGCGCACGGCCCCCTGAGGAGGGCACAATAAGGTTATCGGGGAGGGGGGCCACACTGAAAGGCTGGAATTAGTAGGGGGCTCTGTCCGGTGGGGGAAGTGGACAGGGCTCTGGGCAGAGGCTTGGTTGCTAGGCCCAGGCTCCCTGCCTGCCTCGCCCCCCAAGTCTGCAGCAGCCCCCGGCCAGAAGTTACGCTCCTCTGCTGGGGACGTGGGCAGAGACTCTGCGAGCAGGGAGGCCACACCCCGGCAGTACTGACCCCTCTGCCGGGCAGAGCCCCTTCCTCACCCTGGCCCTTCAGTGCATCTCCAAGGCATGCGGCCCCGTCCACTTGCTCTGCCAGACAGAGCCTGAACAGGGAAAGCTGGGGTCAGCAGGGGGCCCTGTCCAGCGGGGGTCAGTACTCACGGGTGAATCTCTCCACTCCCCGCCTTTCTGTGCTGCCCTGTTCGCTTCCAGAATCGGGTCCTGGCAGCCCAGACTGCCTGACTGCTGCAAGGAGTGGAAGGTTTCCTCTACTGCCATGTGATTAGTACCCCCACCCCTGTGGTGGTGGGCACCCCACCCCGGCCCCGTGGGCACAGGCCACTCCCCGCTAGGGGTGCTAAGAAAACAGTCCCGTACTTTTGAATTACAGTGTTGGCCACCCTATGTGTGAAGCTCTGCCGATATCACAGAGCCCGCAGCCCAACCGCCACCGGCTCCTCCGAGCAGGGTCAGCCTGGGTGACCTCTAGGGAAAAGCCAGGCTCTGGCAGGAAGCGGGATTCAGCAGCGCGTGCAATGCCGTGCGGATGGCCCTTGGATGGTGCTGGGAGAAGGGTTAGGTGCTGCTGGAGGGTCTCTCTGTTCATTTGTCCATCCATTACTGTGGTTAACTCCTCGGAGTTTTCCATCCCGTACTTGGTATTGTGGGGTAACGGTTTAGGGGGCAGTGTTCAAACTTGGTCCCTGCAGTTTGGAACCTGAAGCCAGGTTTAGGAGACTAACTCTAGGCACCCCAGATTGGTACAGATTAATGCCCCAAGTTTCAATGTCTGAGGGCCCCCCCCCCGGACTGTCTTGAAACTAAGAAGCTGGCAGAACTAGCTGGCCCCGGAGCTCTGTGTGTACAGGTGTGTGGGCAGGAGTGCTCTGTGTACTTCAAGAGTGGCCAAAGCGTGCCTACTAGCCTGCAGCACACCTTGCCATTGCCGGAAGTGTTCATTCGGAAATGCAGCCCCTGGAGCATCTGGGGCTTCCCCTGAATCTGAGCAGAGGAGAGCTGGGTTCTCTGTGGGCCACCAGGCCCGAGGGCTGGTGGCGGAGGTCGGGGGAGGACTGCAGTCTGCTCTGCTCCATTCCTGCTCGCTGTGGCAAGCTGCTGTGGTGGCTCTTGGTTGGGCAAAGTTTGGAACTTCCTGGGCACTGGGACTGGTTGAAACAAACTTGGGGCACCCCCCCCCCCAGCCAGGCCGGTGGAAGGGCTCTCCTGGCTGCAGTGCCCAAGGCTTCCTTTGCCAGGCTGGATGTAGGGGGAGCTGAGGCAATGGCTCGGCAGTGGGAGGGCGTTTGTAGAGCGAGTTAGGGGGCGATGGAGGGAGGTTTCCAGTTAAATTGTGGGGAGGGGCTGCACAGAACCTGAAACAGCTGCAGGAGCCCATGAGACTCCCCGGCAGGCTCCTGTTTTCAGCGGCACGGAGCAGCTTCTGTGCCGCGCACTGCGTGGCCGTAAACAGCACGCCAGCCTCGGCAGGGCCTGTGACAGGGAGCCCCCGGTGGCTGCAGGTGCAGCCGCATTGTCTGAGCTCACACAGGATGCACCAGCTAGGGTGGGGCGGTGGTTTCCCCGGGCCGCTGCACGTGTGTGTGTGCTGTTGACAACAACCAGCGCGTCCACTGAAACTAACCCAAACCATCAGGGAAGCACACTCCAGCCCCCGCCTCTCGGAGGAGCAGCAGCGAGATGACCTTTCTCTCGTGGCTCGCCAGTCAAACTCATGCTTTCCCCCCTGCACTGGACAAGGACTTGACTCCTGGCCCTTGGGACTTGAGAATCTGGGTCCTGATCTTCCCTGTGCTGAGCCTAACTCAAGTAGGCTCTCCTTTTCCCAGGACATCAACACTCTTCAGTCCACTCCCTGGCTGCCTCTCAGCTACCTTCTAGCTGTGGTGGCCCGAACAGAGAGGTTGTGGAGTTTGGGTAGGTCTTTCCTCCTCGGTCCTGTTCTTAACAAGCCATGCTGGGGTTGCATTATCTTCTCAGTTACTTCTGACATGAACGAGAGCTCCAAGTCCTGATAGGGTTCTCCTGATACTAATACTAGAAGGAGACTGGACTCTTTGCACAACCGGGTGAATGGGGAGTGTGGGGGCATTGCATATAACAGTGTGTCTGCTCTGGGGGCCGAGGGGGAAGGGGGGGCGGGTATAGACCAGGTGTAATTGTCCTCACCAGTCCTCAGCAGGGTCCAGTTCAAGATGGAACATAGAGGCACAGGGACTGGGTCATACACGCATCAGCTGAGCATAGTCAGGGTTTCCTTCTCTCCTCCACCGATCCCAGAGGACAGAGCTGGCCCCTTCCCTCCCTGTCCATGTAGCGGCATCTCCCTGCCTGGGTCCAGGGGCAGCTGGCATGGAGTGCCCAACCCACGGGCAGAATGGTACCAAGCGGGTCGCTCACTCTCATGGTGACTTTCAATTTGTTTCTTGCTGTGTTTGGCTTTAGCTTAATCTGCAGCACAAGTAGCCCAGGCTGAAAAGCCTTTGGCTGCCCTGTGTGGCTGGCCCATGTAGATGTGGAAGTGAGGGTTCCTCCTCTCCCCCGCCCTGCCTGCCCAACCTGCTCAGCCGGCCTTCTCTGCACTTCACTGCGGATGGGGCACTGTCCCGAGAGCACCTATCCTCAGTAAGCATGAATGACGTTATCCCCATTCTCTCCTGCAGATGGGGCACTTCCAGTTGAGTGTGTCCTCAGCAGGAAGGACCACCCCACCTGAGCGAAAGGTGCTGTTTGTGATCATCTGTGACAAGTCCTGTAGGGTGACAGTTCATTCGGCGGATCTGCACCCGACCTTTGTCTCGGTGAGTATTGTACCTTGAAACACATTAGCAGCATTGAGCGGAACTCCTAAATACACATGACCGTCAGAAGGAACAAAAGATGTGTCCCGGCTCCCATTGGCTTGTTCAGAACTTTCTCAAACTAATTCTTTGGGGTGGATGTTCTCCAGGCTCAGTCTTGCCTCACGGTGAGTGTTTTGAGACCATCTGAGTAAAATCTGATCCAGCCATTGCTGGCTGAGCCGAACATGGAACGTCTGAGCAGAACATCAGAGGAAGGAGTCATCACGGCTTCCACACTCAGCTCACGAGGGCCAGTCAGATTGAGTTCAGACTTTCCCCACAAATACACGTCAGGCTCTGGGCTCAGAGCGCGCCTGGAGAATTTCACTCACCAGGAATTTGCTTGAGAAGGGTCTGAGCAGCTGGAACGCTACCTCATACTAGCAAATGGGACAGCCTTGGGGTAGCACTGTGTATTGCTGGGTGGGAGCCTCCTTCATAGGTCTTGTCCCCAGGTCAGAAGGGAGTCGGAGGAAGGGCAGCCCATGGTGGGGGAGGTGGAGCCCATCACATCTCTGAGGACTGGCCCTCCGTGATTAAAGAGCAGCATTGTCCACCTTCATTATTGTTTTCAGGTATCACTGCAGCACCCTGAGGCCCCAGCTGAGCTCAGGGCCCCATTGTGCTAGGCACTGTACATATGCAGAGCGAGGGACACTCCTTGCCCTGAAGAGCTGGCAGTCTGAATATAGAGGATGAGAGGGAAAGTGACTTGCCCAAGGTTACCCAGCAGCTCAGTGTCACAGCTGGGAATAAGACTCCGATCTCCTTATCCCCAGTCCAGTGTCCTATGCCCTAGAATATGCTGCCGCTCCAGTCCTCCTTGGCTGAAAGGATGGTGGACACAATACAGGGCCTCCAGGGACAGGGATGTAAATCTATGAAAAATGGGGACCCCTTGGGCTCCCTACAGGGGTGAGAAGGCTGCCCCACTCAAGAAGAGATTATCAGTCCCCCATTTTACATGTAGGGAAATTGTGGCACAGAGCAGTTCCGTGATCCTTAGACATGTCAGTGGCAGAGGCAGGAGTGGGGCTGGTTCTGCCAGCTAGCCAGGACAGCAAAATCCTCAGAATCTGTTTGTGTGCATGACTGTGGCCTGGTAGGGCCAGACATTTGGAAGCGTGGCCCAGTGGTTAGTGGGCTAGCCTGGGACTCAGCAGACCTGATGTCAGGTCCTAACTCTGCCATCGACTTCTCGTGTGACCTTGGGCAAGTCACTGAGTCTCTCAATGCCTCAGTTCCCCCTGTGTAAACTGGGGAGAGCAGCCCTGGCCTGCCTCCTAGGGGTGTTGTGAGGCTAAATTAGAGATTGTGAGGCACTCGGGTAAAATGGTGATGAGTGACATATAAGCACCATAGCTAGACAGAGCTGCTTATTGGACAATCTGAAGAGCCAGCTCTGAATAGAACCCAGGAGTTCTGGATCTACTCACTAGACAATACTACCGCACTCCATGGTAAGAGTCAACAGCATAAATGTTGTTGTCACTAACACAGGCTGGTGCCTTGACTCCCTAACCCCCCAATATCTGGCTTTGCTTCCCTTGGGAATTTGGCAGGTTGTGTCCCTGACTAACTCCACACCAACTCTCCTTGCCCAGGGAGAGACGCCAGCTGGGGACAAGAAGTCCCTTATAGGGAGGGACAAGTTATTAAAACAACACAGAAGAGTGCCCTGGATAGGAGGGTGGGGAGGAGCGCATGAAAGAAGGGGAGAAGGAAGCGTCTCTGTCTTGTTTCTGTCTTGGTCTCTCGTTCAGGCTTTCTGGCTCCTGTGTCCTGTTGTTTGCCTTTGTCTGTCTGTGTTTTTTCTTGTGAGAATGGGAAGCAAACAGATGGCGGCATCTGGGAGAGCCGCTCAGCTCCTCTGGCTGGGTTGAGCAACGGGCCCCATGGAAGGGGGAGTTCTTGGCCAGTTAGCTGCTGGCCGCTGCCACAGCTGGAAGAAATCCTCCAAATTCCAAACCAAGCCCCCCAGGACCCATTAGTGTTGATAACAAACAGCAGGGGCTGGAGAGGGCGTGTGACCCCCCATCAGAAACGTGCACTGCCTCCCTAGCTGAGAAGCCAAGTCCTGCACCCCTCATCCCCCTTCTCCTCCTCACGCAGAGCAGCTGCAAGGGCTCCAGGAGCCGGTGGGGGTGGGCATGGGGCTGGGGCCGGGGACTGGAAGGAATGCAGAGCTAGGACAGGAGGTGAAGAAAGGACTCGCGAAGGTCAGCACTGGCAGTTAGGCGGGGGCGGGGAGGCGGGCGGGTGCCACGGGCAGGGAGGGGCGTGTCCAGGCTGTTTATGAATAGTCATGGCACGGTTTGTACTTGGCACCAGAGGTGGCTTCAGAAGTCAGGGAGGATTTTAGGGTTAATAAAGGCTGACTTGAAAAGGTCCCGATTTTTCCTCCTGTCCAGCAGAGGTGAGGATCTGACCCCAATACACCCCACAGGGGAGGGAAAGAGAGGGCCCTGACCTCCATTTCCCAGTGAGGGGGAGACCAAAGCCCCATGCACCCAGCAAGTGGGAAGGGGGCCCGTGAGCCCCATACAACCAGCAGTGGGCCCTGAACCACTTACCTCTAGCAGCCAACTCCTGAGCCCTGTGCAGCCAGTAGCAGGCCCTGGGCCCCCTTCCTCTAGGACTCAATGCTATATGCCCAGCACTGGGCCACACCGCTTACTAGAAGATCCCTCTTCAACGCTGGTTTAATGTGAAGACACATGCCTAGCTTCCCCAGCCCGCAGTGATCCCCAGTGCAGCACATGCCTCCCCAGCGGCACACAGGCTTCTGCACAGCCAAGGGGGACCCCCTTGTGGAAATGTTGGCAACGCAGCATTGGCTCACGGGCCAGGAGGGCGCTTGGGGGAGCCCTGGCCCAGTGCTCGCTGCAGAGGGCATGTGGATGCTTTGCTAAGGCTCCCATCGTCTCCTGGTTTGTGGTTAGTGGGCCCAACCTCCAGGTCAAAGCAGCCCATGCCTCCCTGCTACTCTCTGGGGGGCTTCCCCCATCCTGCTCCTCGGGAAGCCCTGGCTGCCAGGGCCCCCTCATCCCCCCATCCAGCCCCTTTCTGCGGCTGCCTTCCTGTTAGCATTGCCCACTGCGGGGCCCTTGGGCCCCTGCCTCCTCCTGGGAGCCAGGCCAGCACAGCCCCACAGAGTCAGGCAGCTGCGCAGAAGCCGTGGGGTGTGTGAACTTCAAAGGGCTGCATGAGAAATAGCTGATGATGAAGGGAACACCTGGGTTCATCCTCCCACCAGCCTAAACCAGAGCTTGGCCTGCTGCTTGGGAGGTCCCTGGCCCTTCTCTCCTGCTGGGTCTCCCCGTAGGGACCTCCCGGGCGCTATACCGCGTCTCTCTGTCTCCCTCTGGCGTCTGAGACAGGAAGTGCGCTGTCAATAGGTGAGCAAAGCCTGCAAAGAGCCCCCCCCCACCCTTGTGAGGGGTCCGTGGGCAGCGGAGAGGAGCAGGGATGGGATGGGAGGAGCTACCCATCCCTTCTGTACTGTGCTTCTGCATTGGGGCCCCAGCACAGCGCTCTGCCTCTGGGTGCAGGAGAACCTGACAGGGAGCCGGGGAGAGCCTCCGGCTGCAAACGGTTTCAAAACTCCAGCACCTGGGGCAGTCTGGGCCACTCCCAAGGCAAGCTGGGACTCATCCAAAGCATGGGGCTGAGCCCCAGGAATAAGCTTGGCCTGTCAGAGATGAGTTGGCAGCATCCAGGGAGCGGCTGGCTCCCCCAGAAAATGAGAGATCATCGCCACCCTCCCTTTGGAGGGCGGGGGGGGAGCATTAGCTCCCCAGAGTCCCACCCAGCAGCTCCCTGCCTCCCGCAGCGCGCCTCTCCCCCAGACTGCCCCTCCCCCCCAGCTGGCCTGTATCCCCCTACCTCCCGCAGCGCACCCCTCCCTGCAGCTGGCCTGTATCCCCCTGCCTCCCGCAGCGCGCCCCTCCCCCAGACTGCCCCTCCCCCCAGCTGGCCTGTATCCCCCTGCCTCCCGCAGTGCGCCCCTCCCTGCAGCTGGCCTGTATCCCCCTGCCTCCCGCAGCGCACCCCTCCCTTTGGCTCAGGCCCTGTGCTTGGCCCTGGCTGGCTTTCCCCTCTGGCCCTGGATCTGAGCAGAGGGCCAGTCTGAGCAGCGAGTGACGCACAGAACTTGAAAAAGCTCCCGTTTCCTCTGCCTGTTTGGAGGAAGGTCAGGGATGGGATTTGGCTCCAGTGAGCTTGGCTGGGGCTGGGAGCTTTGTTAGCAAACTACACCTCCTTCCTATTTGTGTCTAATAATAACCCGGGCTGACAATGGCGGAGGCAGGGGCAGGGTGCAAAGGGCTATCAGATCGAACATGGCACCACTCCTGCCAGCGGCCCCTCCACTAATCCCACGCGCTGCCCTGGGGGAAGTGAAGGGCCAGCCCAGCTTCCTGGCTCTCTTCCCTGGCATGTGCTCACCCAGCAAAGGTGACCTAGGGGCTCAGACAGGCTGGATGCCGGCTCCGCTGAATGTTCCTGGAAAATCCCAACGCCATGCCAGCTGATTCAGCCTTCCTGGGGGGCCGCCAGAACCCAAGCGCAGCCAGGCTGCCGATGTGGTACCTGGCTGGGATTCGGTGTCTGAGGAGAGACCCCTCCCGCAGGGCTCTAATCATCCCCGTGAGAGCTGGGCCGGGCCGGGCCGGCTGGGCAGCCGGGGCAGGGCGTTGCCTACATGTGTGCCTGCCCTTTGCCAGAGCGGCCAGGGAAGTTGCGGGGTCTTGGTATCTGGTTGCTTGGTCACCCTTGGGCCCGATTTCCAGAGACGGGAGTGCTCTCGGGTCCCCTGGACCCAATGGGGCGTTTGGGGCTAGCCTGATATTTGGTGGAATGTGGGCCTCTGGTTTCGCCCCAGCAGGGAGCCCATCACCCGTCGGGGCGGTCGTGTCCATTCTATTGCTGGCTTTGTTTTTTTCAGAATAACATGGTCAGTGGCGTCATACGCAACGTGTCAAGCGCCTTCGAGCATATCAGTGATGAGCTGCTTGTGCAACGAGTGAAAGAACACTATGAGGGCATCACGTCCTTCACCAAGCTGGAAAACCCCAACCACATCCACTTCCGAGTGGGCGAAGGTGGGTCCTGGACGTGCTTGGGGCTGGGAGCTGGCATCCACTGTGTGGTGATGTGCTGTCACCCCTTGGAGGCTCCACAGTACCCAGCTGTTGCTCTGGTTCACTCTCACACGATCAAAGCAGGGGCAGGTTTCAGGGCAGCACGTGGCTCCCGACCTCCTTGGTGGGCCGTCGCTGGGGCTGTTAAAAGAAACAAGCCGTTTTTACCGTGAAAAGCCACGCTGGCGAAAGACGTTTCCCGACTCAGGCTTAGACTTTCATTGAAGGCTTACTAAGGATATGGCAGGTTTGTTTTTTTGTTAGTGCTGTGGACTTCCTCAGAGCAGTGGCCTGTCCATGCCAGCTGGCATCTCAGCAGCATGCACTCCCTTGCAAGCAGCGGTTCGTGTTGAGTGCTGCCTGCAGGCGCTGGTTTGGAGCTAGTCAAGCAGAGGCTGAGTTGATAAGGGAGGAAGGGGATTCTCTGGACAAGACTCCTTGATACCAAATGGTACCGCTGAGAATCTCAGCGCCGTGTGTGTCTAAAACCAGCCGCTCTGACTCTTGTGGAACGCAGGAAGCAATGGGCCACATTGAGCCATGGAGTAAGAGGTTGCACCTCTCACGGGAGTCAGCAGGAGCTGTGTCCATTTCTACCAGGGCTCAGTGTGTTGCAGATAGCAGTGAGGGGCATGGGAGCCCACGTCAGACATCCCCGCTCCGTCCCATACTCTGGCCTGGAGACCAGGCCCCTGTGAGGTTGGGGCGGGAGGTCACTGCAGCTCAGCAGAGGTCCCCACGCTGGAGAATACGGTTGATTTTTCTTCTCTCCCCCAGATGCTAGCAGTCCAGAAGACTGCATCGTGCAGTCTGGGTTCAGTGCCCGGCGGTACCTACAGACCGAGTTCTTAGTCCAAGAGGTTAAAGGCTGCACCAGCCCCACTGCGAAGAAGGGGAAGGAGGCTCACATCTTGCACGTGCAGCAGGGCCCAGAGGAGACCAGGTAATCGGTGTGCTTCCAACCCCGTCACCTCGCGAAGGGAGGGGTCGGAGCCTTCTCCACCCCGGGCCTCCCCATCAGAATACACCTGAGGCTGGCTGCAGGTTCTTCCCTAGCCGGGGGAGGGAAGGAAAGGGGGCGCCTCTTAAAGAGGCAGCCCCGGCAGTTGGGCCGAGAGCCGCAGCGCAGGGTAGCTAAGCTCACTGCGCTGCCAGGGGGTGTATGCAGTGGGGCTTCACTTAGGAAGGGAGCCCCTCCCCCCAACACACACATGCTGGCTGGGTCCCAGCAATGGGGCCGAGAGTACGTCTCGAGGCTTGGTCTGGGGAGAAGTTGTTTGGAGGGCGGGCGGCGAGGCTCAAGGAGGGATTCGGATCTGTGAGCTCTGGGGACAGAGCTGCAGGTGTCGGGGGTCAGGGGAAGGAAGAGGGCGGATAGGGGTGATTTGGAGGAGGGTTGTGGTTCTCTTTGCCTGTTGGCAAGAGCCCAGCAGTGGTAAGAGTGATGACCAGGCTCCCGCCCTTGCTGTGGGGGTGAGGGGCTGGGGAGAGTGAGGGCTGGGGCGGGGTGCACTCTGGAAGGGGATGGCACCTTGTGAGGGCCCAGGCCAGGGGGTAGAGCAGTGTGTGGTATCTCCCTCTTTGATGGAGGGGGACAGCCCCCAGTTAAGTGGGGGCTTGGCTAGGAAGACTGGGAGGTCAGTGGGGTGGGAGGTCTGTGGGGCTGGGAAAGGTGTGGAGGGTCTTGAAACCCACGCACTCTATCCAGTCTCCAGTGATGGCATGTTCCTCTCTGGCTAGGCCCATGTGTGTGTGAGGGACAGAGAGAGAGAGGACCACGTGGCATATTTTGTTGTTGGCAAAAGAGGCCCTGAAGCTGCGGAGAGCTTGTTAGCAGAAGAGGCCTACCGTGGGAGGTCTTTGTCCAGGGGGCCCAGCTGTGGCCGAGAAAGTGGACTAACCACGGTGGGAGGCCATGTTGGTTCATGAGCCCATCAGTTTATTCTGGGGTTTGCATTGTAGCTCTCAGCCCGTGGAGGTGAAGGTGAATGTGGTCTGCCCCGAAGCAAAGCTGCTGCAGGATCTGAAAATACTGCTGATCCTCCAAAGCCAACCCAACGTGACCTGGAACATTGATACGCAACGCACCGTGAGCATCATGGTAAGGCAGGAGGGAAATGCTGACAGGGAGCTCATATTTCTGTGATGCCTTTCAGCTCAAAATGTTCACCTGAAAAGCAGCCACCTCTGGGGTGGAACACAGCAGTTGTTTTATAAAACCCAGCCATGCTGCAGAGCAATCCAAGATGGGCAGTGAAGAGTTCTGTGTCCAACGGAAACAGCAGGAGGAGTTTAGGGAAGCAGACTGTCACTGAGTGAGAATCTGGCCAGGACAACGGGCTTACCAGCCCTACTCTGTGAAAAGCATCCTGGGATGTTGAAAGGCTGTAAGTGGCCAGGACCTCTGGCCGGCACTCAGACGAAAGGTGGTACCTGCCAGCAGCACAGAAGTTAAAGTAAAAAGGAGGCCGGGGGGGACACAGCTTCCCCTCTTCTCCCTGGGTTGGGCAGGCAGCGCTCCCCTACGGCTCCCCAGCTCTGGCTGGTGCGGTGAGAGCGCCCCCTCCTGTTTTGATCTATTTCAACCATTCGCGCCACCTATTGACTCCCCGCTGCTATTTCTTGCCGGCCGTGCTGGAGTGCTCCACAACCGTCTCTTGCCAAGGACCAGCCCGGCCTCCTGCAGCTTGCCTGGGTCCTGATGGCATCCCGGCACCAGAACAGACTGGCTTGTCCTAGTGACTCTCATCTGGGCAGTGCGGGGAGCTGGGGCCCTGCTTTAGTTTCGCCAAAGGGGCTTCATGACGTCCCGGGGGCCATGCCACTTCACCACGCGCAACACCTGGGCTCCTGCAGGCTTCGTCCTTAGGCTGCAGAGGATGCACTCGGTTGTGCCCTCATTGAACCTGACTGCAAAATGGCTAGCACCCCCGCCAGCTTCCGCCAGGTCTGTGATTGCTCGTGGGTCACAGACAAGCTTGCTAGCCGCCACCACCCCGCTCCAGCACATCAGTTCCTGACTTCTCCATCTCCCGCCCTCCTATTCTCTCTCCTCCCTCTTCTTCTTCCACAGGCGTCTGGGAAATACTGGATCACCATATTCCCCTCCAAGGCATTGGATGAGAATGTCCTCCCTGACAATGAGCAGGGCCTGATTAGCTTGGCCCGCGAGAGAGGATTTGATGACATAGCTTCATATACAGACATCCCGTCTGCTACCCACGTGACCCTTGAGCTGCACAGATGTGGTGAGTCTACACTAGACGCTGCCTGGTGCCCAGTCACTCAACTCAGTTGTCAGCCGGGCTCTAAAGGTAGGTCTACACTGCAGTTAAACACCTATGGCTGGCCTGTGTCAGCTGACTCAGGCTCTTGGGGCTTGGGCTACAGGGCGGTTTAATGGCGGTGTAGACCTTCGCGCTCAGGCTGGAGCCCAGGCCCTGGGACCCATTGCGGGGTCTATGCCGCCATGAAACAGCCCTGTAGCGCGAGCCCAAGTCAGCTGACATGGGCCAGCCGCGGGTGTTTACATGGCAGTGTAGACATTCCCTAACGGCCCCGCGGGCGAAACTGCCCCGTGGTTCAAGAGGTTGGGAATGGGCTGCCGAGCCTCCCACCCCCGTGGTCACAGGCTCAGCTCCAGCCAGGTCAGTACTCGCTAAGCACTGTTGTCATCTGCTGGCTGCTTGGTGACCTCATTCCAGATCCCAGCGAGCAAGTGTCCACATCAGAATTCGCACAAATTGTTCCCCTTATTGGCAGCCTCAAGAGAAGTGCCCAGGATTGGCTGGGCCATGGGGACTGAGCCCCCTGCCCTCCAGAGATGGCTCTCTCCAGCTCAGGGCTAAGGCCCAGTGGTGGGGCAGCATATGGGAAGCTGGCCCTGCTTCTGCCTGTGCCCTACCTTCCCTCTCCAGAGCTCAGTCTGGCACCTTTCCCCAGCACTAGATCAAACCCCCTGGGTTCTATCATCACCTGCATTGTGAGGGTTACTCTTGAGTTTGCAAAGACGTCATCCCAGCGAGTTCATCCTTGTAGATACCAATAGCCTCTCTCTGGGCTGCCGAAGGAACTGAGCTGTTCCAGCCCCTGCCCAATGCTGTCCTGATGTTGATTTCTATAGAACCAGAAGTGAAGACTCCACCACCAACACCTGCACAACACCCTGAGACCGTCAATATTGTTCAAGCATTTTTCAGTCTGTCCCGACCGTGGAAGTGCATGGACGACTCCATTGAGATAGTCATGCTGAAGACGACCTTACAGGTGGGTGACTAAGCTGGAGCCCGCAGGCTTGAGAAATCACATGCTCCGGACAGAATTGTGGGAAGAGAACTGGGACCCGGGAGAAGGGTTCTCCGTGTCTTGCAGAGCTGGGCTCTTGGTTTCCTCCTGTCTCCGACATTTGGACGCTGGGGGTCAGAGGGTTCTGCCTTACTCTGCCCCTATGGACGGGGGAGAGAAGCAATAGAGGGATCAACCACATGTTTTTCCCAAGCAGGGGGCGCCGAGGGGAATCTGGGATTCTGCCTGTAACAGGTGATGGATACATTGGTATCTTTCTCTTAGGGTTTAAATGTCCACGTCACGGATATCACATTGCAAGACCCCCATTGCAGAGCCGAACAAAACAAAACTCACTTTGTGCTGAAAAGGTATTTGGGGGACTGCCACACCAAACTGGAGAGGGGAAGCCAAGCCAAGAATAAGGTCAGTGATAGTCCAACATGGTGCTAACGTCTACGTTCTTATCCCCGTGAACGGCTTGGTGTTACAGTCTGCCCCCACCCGCACCCCCCAGCACACTGATTCCTGGTTTGTTGCTCAGAGATATTGCCCCCCTCCCCCTGCTGCAGAGATTCCTGCTGTACAGAATCGCCAGGGTATTGATCTGCCGTCCTCGCTTGGGCAGAGATTTCAGGTGTATTTCACTGAGACTTTGTCACCTTCAGGCATCAAGGAAACTCCTAGTGTATTTCACAGCATGGGACTGTTAGAACTCATTTCTGCCTCCACTGAATGGGTGTTTGGCCATTGCCATCAGTGGGAGCGGACTCGGGCTCTTAGCCACTGGCCTTCTAGCAAGTATTTCACTTAATTCCAGACCCCTTTTCTAATGCACTGGTGGCCTGATGTTCAGAGCAGCTGATCACCAATAACTCTAACGTCAGTCACTGTAGCCGTGGGCACTCAGCACTTTTGAATATCAGGCTAAGTCTTAATAATCCTGCGAGGGCCAGCCAGGTAGCAGGATGTAGTCAAGACATCTCGAGCGACATGCTGGTGTTCTGCATGCCAGTTCAGATTTCTCCATTTCAGCATCCATGCTGTTAGACGGTTCATGGGTTTGCACCTTGCCACTTCCCCACCCCAACCCAAGGGTGCTGCTTTTGGCTCCTAGTAATTGTGGAAAAATCAGATTTGGTCAAAACAAGGGACTCGGTGGAAATGTTACCTGCTAAACAGCCCTTGGCTGTCTGCTCTGGCTTTGCTAACGGAAGTGACATTTGGGCAAGTTGCATGAAATAAACAAATTGCCTTCCTGGAATGAAACCTACATGAGCTGTCACTCTTGGCAAGTGATCCCTGCTGATCACCTTTAGACAGCTAAAGACCATGGCTTTTTTATTTATATAGTGACGTATATGCATACGTGTCTCTTGCCCTGGAAAGCTTCCTCCCAAAGGACTCTGCCTGCAAACCACAAACACTCACTCACAGGAGCCGGCTCTCACTTCATTTCTCTATAAGATGTGCTCCGTTTCCTAGCAAAAAGCCATTGTTTTTATCTGCCTGCCAACCCTGCAGTCTGACTGCAACTTGGTAAAGCATTCTGTTGCCGATGCACGAATAGCCTCCAGCTCCCTCTCTCAGAGCTGTATGGGTCTGCAGGGCTGAGAGAGGGGAAAAAAAGCAGTGAAAGTGTATCGTTATCACTAGAATAAGCAGATATGAGTCTCTCCATGCTGGGAGCAAATTGGCTAAGTAAGAAGGTGCCTTTTTTGCCTAGTTGCTTTTTGCACTAGAACCTTGCTTTAAAGAAATGGGTCCAAATTGTCCTGTTGATTAACAAAAGTGTATAAGGAAGGCCAAGGGGCTGATGTTGTCCTGAGGAAGGTGTGAGGCCCGTAAGAAAAGAAGGCAAACCCTTAATGCCATTCGGAATTGCCATGGAGTATCCATTAGTATCCATGGAGTATCGATTTAGATAGTGACATACAGAGTACACTTGTTTGCGGACGATACCAAGCTGGGAGGGGTGGCAAGTGCTTTGGAGGACAGGATTAAAATTCAAATGGATCTGGACAAACTGGAGAAATGGTCTGAAGTAAATAGGATGAAATTCAATAAGGAGAAATACAAAGTACTCCACTTAGAAAGGAACAATCAGTTGCACACATACAAAATGGGAAATAACTGCCTAGGAAGGAATACTGGGGAAAGGGATCTGGGGGTCGTAGTGGACCACATGCTAAATATCAGTCAACAATGTGACGCTGTTGCAAAAAAAGCGAACATCATTCTGGGATGTATTAGCAGAAGAGTTGTAAGCAAGACACAAGAGAAGTAAGTCTTCCGCTCTACTCTGCTCTGATTAGGCCTCAAGTGGACTATTGTGTCCAGTTCTGGGTGCCACATTTCAGGAAAGATATGGACAAACTGGAGAGACTCCAGAGAAGAGGAACAAAAATGATTAAAGGTCTAGAAAACATGAGCTATGAGGAAAGATTGAAAAAAAATTGGTTTGTTTAGTCTGGAAAAGAGAAGACAGAGAGGAGACATGGTAACAGTTTTCAAAGTACGTAAAAGGTTGTTACAAGGCGGATTGAGAACAACTGTTCTCCTTAACCTCTGAAGACAGGACAAAAAGCAATGGGCTTAAACTGCAGCAAGGGCGGTTTAGGTTGGACATTAGGAAAAAATTCCTAACGGTCAGGGTGGCTAGGCACTGGAATAAATTGCCTAGGGAGGTTGTGGAATCTCCATCACTGGAGATTTTTAAGAGCAGGTTAGACACACATCTGTCAGGGATGGTCTAGACAATACTTAGTCCTTCCATGAGTGCAGGGGACTGGACTAGGTGACCTCTCGAGATCCCTTCCAGTCCTATGATTCCGTGATTAGCATCAATAGCAGGTTCTGGTAATGAAAGGCTATTCGGGGCAGGTACCCAGTACCAATGTCCATTACATCCGTTAAGCCAGTGGTTCTCAACCAGGGATCCAGGGCCCCGCTAGGGGTGGCCGCAAGCAGGTTTCAGGGGGTCCGCCACGCAGGGCCAGAATCGGACTCGCTGGGGCCCAGGGCAGAAAGCCCAAGCCCTGCCGCCTGGGGCTGAAGCCGAAGCCTGAGCAATGTAGCTTTGCGGGGGCCCCTGTGGTGTGGGGCCCCGTCAGGTGCCCAGCTTGCTGTCCCGTAGCGCCGGCCCTGGATTTTACATGCAGCAAAGCAGTTGCTGTGGCACAGGGGGGGCCGTGGCGTTTTTACTGCATGCGGGGGGGGCGGGGGGGCCTCCGCACAAAAAAGGGTTTTGCGAACCCTTGCGCTAAGCAACTAAAATGGACTCCGTCGCTTCCAGAACTGTCCCTGCGTTTCACGCCACTCCTAGGCAATGCCAGTAAAGGACCGAGCTTCATCTGCGTGTCTCCAGCTGCCCGTGGCTCCAGCAGGCAGGGGTGCCCGACCCTAGCCCAGCCGAGAGCCAGTCGCGAGGGCCTGATTCGGTGGGGTGCTGAGAATCCTCAACCCCCCATTAGCTTTGCTGGAGGTTGAGGCTGCTCAGTACCTTGCAATCGCAACACCAGAACTTGCAGACAAGTAGGCCGCAGCTGCCGGTTTTGTCTTTAATACAGAGGTGGCGTGCGGAGACTGCAAGTCCAAGCATGCCAAGTGGCACAGTGAACTCAGTGGCCAGAAACCACACTGTCTTCTGGACTTTTAACCCTTTTCTACCCCCCAAATGATTGGCTCCCACCTCTGAAAGATGCCACGTGCGGCGCTTCGGGAACCAGGTGCCAGAGCACTGTCTGCTGCATCAGTTCTGTGAGCCATTCACCAGCGTCTCACGTTCTTTCCATTCTCTTTGTGTTCCCAGCTGATCCTGACACTGGCTTCATCTCTGGAGAAAGTCGAGGTAAGAGGAGTTTGTTGTTTAATCTCCAAGGCTCCAAGCTGTTTCCGAGAGGACAACTCCTGGACAGCAGGAGTCCCAGGCTGTGATTCGAGAGGATTCTTTCCTTCTCTCTTTCAGTCACGCTTTGCTCCTCCCCACTGCGCCAGAGAAATCCCGGTGATTAGGGAACAGTCTTCCTTCCTCCCGCCCTGGTAGGGGATTGACAACAAAACCCGTCGGAGGGGAAGCGAAAGCGTTTGCCATTTGCTCACGATGCAGCTAGAAGTGACTGTAGGGTGACCAGAAGTCCCGGTTTTATAGGGACAGTCCCGTTTTTTGGGACTTTTTTTTTATATAGGCGCCTATTACCCCCCCACCCGCACCCCTTCCCGTTTTTTCACAGTTGCTGTCTGGTCACCCTAAGTGACTGAGACGGCCGAGTTCTCGTGGTGCAGCAGAGAGCATCCCTCCATTCCAGAGGCAGTAGAGATAAGTACAGGATTTCTACCATCCTGGGGACTGACTGGCGTCACAGATCCCAGTGAGTGCCCCCTTCCAGCCACTCATCAGGACTGCTGCGAGGGGAATCCGAGCCACTGCTGTTCTGGATCCCCAATGCTTCAAGCCCATGGACCCCGAATGGAGTCCTGCCACTGCCCCATTCTCGGGGTCCCTAGGCTCGCTCTCAGACCACAGACCCTCTGTCTGGCAGCCCCCTCTGAGGGCTGGAACCCATTGTCCAGCTGCCTACCCACTCTGGATACGGCCCTGACCCCAGTAATTAAACACACCTCTCTTGCAGAACTTCACCCTAAAGGTGTGAAGCTTTGGGGGGCCTGCAGTTGTGACACGGTCGACACGCGCACACTCTGCCAGTCTAACATTGGCATGCTGTTTGTATTGAATCATGCAATTCACCAGCGCATACAAAACAATAAAACACCCTAAATGCCATGTCCCTCCCTAGCTCAGCCTGCTCCTGTGGGCCCTGGGAGATCACCTGTGTTCTGGCAGGCCAGGGCTGCCACCCTTTGCCTATCCCACCCCTGCCGCAGCCTCCCATCCCTCATCTTAATCTGATGCAAAATGTCTCCTCCAGTCGCTCTCCATTCCCCCTGTGAGTCCCTTTAGAGGCTCCTGCTTCTTTTGTTCTCTTCCTGGTAACTTCCATTCCTCTCAAACCCCCTCCCTTCAGACAAGAGGAGGCAACGGCGTCTCCCAGCTAGACCAAACCCATGGTCCCGAGGTGTTCAACTTTGCTAGGGGATGGTTGAATTTTGATCACTCGCCGTTGTCTCTGGCCTGGCAGAGACATGACACCACCCCGCTAGCTCATGGGGATCCGCACACATACGGGCCTTCCGCCGTGCATGAAAGCAGACAGGACCCCCAAATTGTCACACTGGCTCAGGAGCCGGCAATCTGGAAACCTGTAGCTGGCTGCCACTCGCCCCAGCTCCCCAGACTGGCCCTGCCCAAGGGTTCCTCAGACTGCGGGACCTGGAGCAAGTGAAGCGAGGAGAGGTAGGAACTGTCTCATGCAGGTTCCGGGAGCCCCATGCCTTGAGTCACTGGCCAGGACAAAGCAGGGAGGAATACGCCATCGGGAACAGACCTGCCCAGGCCCTTGGGGCAATGGCAATTCCACCCTCACTTCTCTGCTTCCACACCTCTGACCGTGGAGCAGGTTTCCGCCTGGTTATAATGAACCAAGTACACAATAAGTTCTGAACAAACTGCCCTACACAGACACGCACTCTTGAATAGCAAGAGAGAGGTCAAAGGTGAGACTAGGAGCCAGATGTCCGAGTTGTTGGCAGGACTGTTCGGGGGCGGGAGGAGGGGAGCATTAAGGCTGTAGCCCTCTGGGATGCTGCATCAGGAAAAAGCACCGGAGTGGGGGGAGGTATATCCGTTGTCGCTGAAATAATCGTTCCTTTTCTGAGGTATTCCTAAGGCACCCATCAGTGCAAGGCCTAAGGGCTGGCTCCGGGAGCTTAGATTTCTGCAGTGATGCACAGTGGGCACCCAGTGCCCTGTGGAAGCCCTGTCAGAGCGACAGCAGCCTGGAGCTCAGCCCTGTCTCCTTCCCACGTAGGTGCCATTGGAGTGCAAACTGCCACAGGAGCTCCAGTTGCAGCTTTACCAGACCCAGGACTTCAAGTGGCCTTCTACCACCGTGCTGGAAGTCAACAAAGCTGCTTATGTCCAGGTATTGGGCATCTCTCCCATCTTTGCTGGGCCCGGCTGGTGCCAGGCTTGGCTGGGCTGAGTTCATGAGACCGGGTGAGCAGCTAGAAGGCTCCAGGCCACTTGGAGAGTGGCTTTGCATAGCCCGTCCCTGCATCTTGGTGTGTTTGTTCCCTGCTGTGGCTGTAGAGTGAGTGATGCCTTGGGAGTGGGGAGTTAGTGCAGGAGCCTCTTTACCCCTGGAAAGCTGGGATGAAATCCCAGTTGGGCTCTGTGACTAGAAGTCATTTATGCACCTGCTTGAATGAATCCCCCGGCTTGGCAGGCTTTGGCTGAGAGAGGCCCAGGCCAGCACTCACTGTATGGGCTTAAAACCAAGTGTTAGACAGACACATCTGATAGATGTGTGGGGCTGGGACAGGTGTCCCTTAGCTAAATGCCTCACGGAGACAATTACAGGCATGACTGGAACCAGTGAACCAGGTCTGGTGGGGACCGTTGCCCTGTGGGGGCAATGGTTGGTCTGCTGAGGTAATTAGCTCAATCAGGGGCAGCGATACAATTGGTAGGAGCAGGAAGTGTGCGAGTCATGGCAGAGAAAGCTGGGGGGGGGGCGGCTCTTCCTGATACATGTCTGCACTATGTTCCGCAGGGCTTGGCATCAAAAGATCAAAGGTGCAGATGGGCAAGAGCAACAACCTGTGTGTAAGAGACCGTGCAAATGGGCCAGGCAGCGGGTAGCTGAGCCAGCGCCCTGGGACGGGGCTAGGACAGGAATAGCCCCGGGGAGGGGACGGGGATCAGGCTGCAGCTCAGGGTTGAGGGTAGTCGGTAGAGCTGGCGTGGGAAGGAGTTTGCATGGAGCCAGCTGCACCCCCCTGCCTTTGCTGCTCACACAAGTCATAGCTACGGGAAGGGGAGAGCCGCTCCTAGGAAGAGAATTCCGGGGGAGAGCTAATTGCCAAGGACGGCATGTGACCATGGACCTGTTCCTGGGCCCGGCTGACCTGGCCCAAACTCCCGCTCCATGCCAACGCCACCTCCGCCCCCCACCCAGCCTCACTCCCTGTGTACAGGCTTCAGTCTGACCGAGGCTGCTCCTGCAACCAGCTTCCTCCAGACACGAGAGAACGTGTGACAACCCGCTCCAGTCACCCGCACTTCAGTGCAGGAGGGGAGAGCCGTGCAGGCAGACCCGTGCTGGCCCAGCTCAAAGCAGCCGTGTAGACATGGCAGCACAGGCTTCAGCGCAGGCGAGCAACACGCATATAATGAACCCTGGTGCGTTTGCACAGACCGGGCTGAAGCCCACGGCGCTGCATCTACGCTGCTGTTTTCAGCGGTGCTCACGGGGGGGTGGCTGCACAAACCGCAGTCGCACCTTGGCTTACAGTGGAGGCATTCCCCCAGGGAGCGAGCGTCGCTGTGTTAGCTGGAGGCAGACTGTGCCCCAGAATGACCCCAGTCATACTATGCCCATGGGTATATACATTACCCCAGTTAGGCGGGTGCAGAGGGGTAAAGGGTGAGTGCAGGGGACGGGACTAGAATCGATGACCTCTCGAGCGCCCTTCCAGTCCTACACTACCCCTCGATGATAATCAGGTCTCTGATGACTCAGGCCTAGGTTTTAGTGGAACGTTTTTTCGCGTAAAGATGATAACATATCACTTAGCAACCTAGATCTCGTCAGAAAGCTCTGCCGGCCGGAAACAGAGCCATTTGGCTTGGTGTCTCTCTTATTCCCACATCCCGTCTGTAAGCATTTGATCATTGGTGACGGGTGCTGATAGCTCACTGGGGCCTTCCGGCTGGGGGAAGGTAAATAACTCGTTTTCCTCTCCTCTGTTCTCTTTGTGCCAGGATACACAGTGCATGTCAGACAATTGGCAGGGAACTGGTTCTTTGATTCCAGATGGTTCGGGCTGTCCCCTCCCTCTCCCCCTCCATCCACAAATCAGGTTTAGGGGTCAGCGTCTATCAGGGCTAATCATTTTTCCCAAACAAGGTGGCTCCAGCCTCTTCATGTGGTCATAGCTTCCTGCTCAAACTCTTCGGGCTCAGGAATTAGGACTCTAGATTTCCTGACCGTTTATCAGTCAGATGAAGGGTTGTCCGCAAACCCATTCTGTGCAAACTCTGCCGGCCATGTGGCTGTCATCAGCCTGACCCAAAGCCACGACAGTTGTTGGATCCGGCCCTTACAACCCGGCGCTGTTTGACAGGGGGATCAGAGCCAGGCCATCTACAGCTGTGCATTAAACACTGCAGTTGCAGTGTGGGTTCTGGTACATTGGCCCAGACCAGAGAGGACAGGGAATTACAGTGGTCTGAAGCCATGTTAGAAACCCAAGTATAAGGCAGTGGACTAACTCAGCAGGCAAGAAACGTGTGCAATCAACAAAGCTTTAATCCCCAGGGGTGATGCTTATATCATGAAAGCAAAGTATCTTACCCTGAGGAAAGCTCCCCACTGTGGGGGTTCACCTGTCCTGTGGTCACCGAGCGTGGAGCTCCCCCAACTCAGCAGCATCTTCCCCTCTCTCACTGGCCTGCAGCCAGACCACAGCCTTCCCCTTGAGCACCTGGGCTGAGCTAGAGTAACCCTGGTGCCGTGGGGAGAAGGTAGCCTCTGTAGATTCTTTGGGAGGTAGGTACCCAAGGGCTGGTGTCCATGGCATGGTGGTGGCTAAGATCTCCAGCAGCTGGCCCACCTCCTGCTCTCTCTGCTTTTCCTGGTACACGCAGCATTATTTGGCAGATCCCCTAACGCCCATGCCTTTGACAGCGCTTGGGGGCAATGAAGGTTTATTCTGCTTCTGCCATCCTGCCAATCCCTTCCTTCTGTGCTACTGTCCATTCCAACTGTCTGCGCAGGCCTGTTACTCCAGGGCAGGGTTTGCCACACCATCACACCGCGGGAAGTGACTCCGCAGGGGAGTCGAGAGCGATAACCCACATTCACATGGCCAAATGAAAAGCAAAGAGAAATTAGAGAGAGGGTCATCCTGTAAAGAGTGGGTGAGAATCAACCTGCCTCGGGGTATAGTATGGCTCAGATACCGTTGGATGGGCTAGACAGTTGTGTTCCAGTGGGTCAGGCGGCGTGGAGCGGAGGATTCCTGCCTGGGCTGGTGACAGAAACCCTGCTAGAACTGTGCCACACCAGCGGTGTGTAGACAGGGTTGGAGTAGCCCAGTTCTGATCCCAGTGTGGACAGAGCTTCATTGCGTCCAGGGCCCACGCCTCAGAGAAGCACCCAGCCGGGTTGTACTCACCCATGAGGAAGCCACATCAACTGGAGACTGGGAGTCGGGGCTGGCTTGCCCCCTCCAGTCCTCAGCCTGTACATGGGTGGATCCTTTGGCTTCCTTCCCTGCCAGCCCAGATACAGAGCTGAGATGCAACCTCCGAGACGAGCTAACTGAACTCTCCTTCTCCTGCTGCCCCCTGCAGGTCTCGTTTCGGGCAGAGATTGCCCAGACTCACCTGAAGGTGGAGGAGTGCTCTCTGCAGGCTGCTGGCGAGGAGCCTCAGCAGCTCCTGATCCAGCCTGTCACAGCGCTCAGCCAAGCAGTGACCGTCCTCAAGCCAACAGAAGCCACTCTGGGCCGGGAACTCCATCGGTTCAGCTTTGTCTACAGCCTGGCTGGGGGAGGGCCCTTTCCTCCTTGCGCCATCCTGTCATGCAGAGTGACCTTGCCTTTCAACGTGAGTGTGGGGGCCGTCTCCTTCGTGGGCACCCCCAGGAGGCCTGGTGGCATGACCCTGGCCCAGGACCCTTTGCCCATCTGTCGAGCGAGGGGGCTGTTCCCACTGCCCTAGCAGGGGGGCAGGGAGGCACCGATGGGAGGTTTGAGGGATTCCATTCCCGTGTCCCGCTGGCTGGCTGGTGACGTGCAGCCCGAGACCAGACGACACACACATAAGGCTGGGTGGAAGTTAATGGGGCCTAGCTCTCGCTGCACCGCCCTGCTGAGCTGAGAGGGGTTTGCACTGGATTGCAGGGCCCAGACTAGCCCCACTGCCACAGCCTTCGCACGGGGCACAAGCCGGGTGTGACGTCGCCTCCCTGTTCCCAAGAGCAGTGGAGCTGCGGCCAGGGGCACGTAGTGCACCTACTGGCCAAGAGCCCCAATGTACGTTAGAAACAGGAACGAATCAGGCTTCACACCAGTCCTGGGGATCAGTATCCCCATTTACAGTGGGAGAAACTGAGCCACAAGGAGGGGAATGAACCCCTGCCCCCCGGTCACCTGGGCACTGGTCCTGTGGCAGAGGCAGGGATAGAATCAAGGTCTCCTGCCTCCCTGGCCTGCACCTTAGCCACAAGGCCAGGGGTCTCTTCCCAGGGTGTCACCAGGTGCTCATCCCTCCTGCTGTAGCCTTGTGACCGGCTGCTGGGGGATCCATGGGGTACTCAGGGCTCTCTCGCTGGGCGGGGCAGAGATGTGCGCAGCTCATCTTAACCCTCTTGGTTTTCTTCTCAAAATCACAGGACAGCACCGTCGAGAGAAAATTAGAGGTGACGCTGCAGGACACCAGACCTCCACCTTCCAGTGAGTTCACAATCTCCTTGTCACGTCACGTCACGTCGGGTCAGAGCTGAGAGCTGGAGCCGAGCTACCCAGTGAGGGTGGATCAGCACGGAGCCCAGCCTGCACTGCCGTTAGATTGTCCCTGGTGCGAGGTGCAGGCAGACGGGTGGGAGCAGAGAGTGTCCCATAGTCCTTGCCGAGTTTCAGTCTGGTGAGGATCTTCTGGCAGGATTAGCGCCCTCCCTCGGCTGGAGAATGGGAGCTGGTTTAATGGGGACCAGGGTGACTAGACGGGAGAGAAATACCAGTTCAAAGAGAAACGTGGTTGCACCTATAGAAATGGGCTGAGTGGGGAAAGGAGTGATGGCTGATGGGACGCCTTGTAACTGGGAAGCAATGCCCAGGAGGGGATAGCAGGACCAGGGCTCAGTATGTTCCTCACCAAAAGGGGAGGCCCTTGAATGACTGTGAGACCTGGCAGGCTGGGATGAGCTGCCTTGCTAGCGGGTGAGATATGGACGAGGCTTCCGTGCGAGGAACTCCACGGGCCAGAGGCTGGCGGGAGCCATCCTGAGAACTGGCCATCTCAGGGTGCGTGGCTTGCGCAGGCCTCAGCAAGTGAGATGCCTTCATCCTGGTGGGGGGCTGGGGGGAGAGGGGCCAGGCTGGCACTGAGCCCAAGACTCAACACAGGCTTTTCCACGGCGCCGTCCCGCTGGCGCGCTTATCAAATTCCTGGCAGCTTCCTTCTGCTTTTCTTCCCCTTGTTTCTTCTTGATCTGCATTCCCGCTGTGGCTGTTGTGACAGAGCCGTGCAGTGTGTCAGCCGGTCTCCCCGGAGAGGGGTTAGGGGTTGCGGCTGGGCCAGGCGCTGACCTACAGGAAGTTGTGTACAGTGACTGTGCACCAGTTGTCTGCGGAGGATAACAGGCTGCAGGGGGTGGGGAAGGGAAGCGAAGTTCTGAGGTGAGCCAGAGCCCAAGTAAACTTGTCTTGGTGTGATAGGAAACAGCCCAACTTGGAGAGGACTCAGTCAAAAGAGCCTGGGGGCAATTGGATGCAGTATCCTTTACTTCCTGAACCAAACTCTTGTGTAGCCTTCCTGTGTTGCTGTTAAACCCCAGAGGTAGCTGCATTTCACTGATGTGTGCAGTGATTCCTAAAGCTAGCATTTGTAACGTGCCTTTGGGTCATTCTGAACAAAGGCTGCTGCATGGATGTAGATGCATTATTGGTCCAGTTTGGTGTTTGCATTTAGTATCAACCACATCATTTTTATCCTCCCCACAAAATCCTGGAAATCAGAATCTCTGTGTGGGAGAAGCTCTTTGGAGGAGTTGATCTCTGATAGACAAATACAGTGTGGCCAAGCCTTGCCATTTTAATGCATGTCATGAGATGGTTAGTGTTTGTCTTCAAGCTCCAGCTCCTGGAGTCATAGGATGGAGGTGGCAGGCTCGGCTTTCGTTACAACCCAGGACGTTTCTGGCTCTGGTGGCTGCAGAGAAAAGCTAGACAGCGTGACCCCTTACATCTCAAAACCCAGCAGGCAAAGTCAAGCCCCCAGAATGTGTTATTTTTAAGATGTCCTGATTTTGGGGGGTGGGGGGGCTGGCTCAGGATTTCTGAAGCTTTGGGGTTGGCGATGCTGCACAGAGCTTTGTGCGAGGGCAGAGGTGTGGTGAGCTCGCTGGGGCAGGAGCTGTGCCTGCGTGCGAACAGCACCTGGCACGGGGCAGGTGCTCCCGAAAGACACAGACTTGGGGATGATAATGGACGGGTGACTTCAGCCCCTGGTGTCTACTGAGAAGTGGTTTCCTTGCCTGCCAGTCTCCCCCGGCTGAACCCCCTGAGCAGCTGCGAGGGGGGCGTCCTGCTGATGTCTCCCAGAGCAGTTATTCTTGCATTCGCTCCATGCGAGGGAGCGTGGCCTGTCTTCCTGCCCAGCTGAATCCTTTCCAAGCAGGAATGAATCTTCAGCCCCATCCAAGAATGGATGATTTCCTGCTTTCCTCCCACCTTGGTCCCCTCTTCCTGCCTCTGTTTGCTCAGCTCCCCCAGGACGGCAGCACAACAAAGCAAGGAAAGGCTTTTGACACGCGCTAGCCCCGACTGGAATTCGCGCCGCACATCACACTCTCAAACACACACGTCTCACATCCCCGGGCGGTTTCATGAGTGCCGCGGCCCGGAGACAGACACAGGGAGGAGCTGCTGGGCTCAGCAGAGGAGAGCTGCTCCCTCTAGGGGGGTGGAACCAGTGACTGAGAGGAGTCCAGGAACCATCAGCAGACCACCCAGCCTCCACCCAGCCACCTGAGCAAGGTGGGGCTTGCAAGGAACTGGGAGACCGTAGCAAGCCCAGAATAAATAAATCAGAGCAAAGGCTTGATCGTTCCTTGACTAGGTACTGCAGGCTGTGGTGGTGTGAATCTTCTCTGAGTCCGTATTGAGCCCGTGGTGGCCGTGGGGTTTGCTATCTTTGGAGATGTAGCACTGAAGTCCTGAATACCTGTGCCCGTGAAAGATCCCAAGGGGTGCGCTCCTCCCCCCGCCACGCCGAATGTTTAGTTTCACAACATTCAGCCTCATCTGGAATCCTCCATGTGGTTTCAGCTGCTAGGCATTCCTTGTTAACCCGCCTGCAGAAAATCCACCATCAGTGTAGTGTTCCTGTGCGCTGCCAAGCAGCTGTCACACCCATGCCTAGAGGTGGCTGCTTTTCAATGCTGCACCAAGGTGGTGCTCTGTGCGCGTACAGGAACGAACGTATAAAGCATGCGGCAGTTTGCAGAACTGCATGGCCCAAAGCGCATGGTCAGTGCGGCAGGAGAGAAGCTGTGAGCCTGCTGCTTGCAGAGAAACCTGCCTCTGACAATTTCTAAAGCTCCCCTCCCTCCGTGCGGGAGAGGGGCAGAGTCAGACTGATGCAGAGGGGTTGGGGGATAAGGTCACTTAAAAGCCATATGCTTTGCTTTCTGTCTCCTTTTAACTGGTTAATTTCAAGTCACTGGCAAGCTTTGGTCCTGCCCTCACTCCTCAGTGCCTGGTGGGACTGGCACGCTCCTGCTGTCAGACCATTGCACAGCCTATGAGCTGCCGATCCTACCTGCTAAGGGCGCGGAGCCCTTACAAACCTAGCAGTCACGTCCTTCCAGCCAGATCCCCCCCACAGGGACAAACCCCTGCCCAGCTCGTCGCTCTGCTCCGTAGTTCAGTTCCCACCATGGTTTCATCTTGGCTATTTCCTGAGCTGGCCAGGTACCTGCGTGGAAAAGGGAGGCTCTGGGGCAGGAGACAGGGGCGTCTCTTGCTGGCCCATCAGCAGTGGATGGGTTTCAGTGGAGAGTCCTTACTATGGGCAGAGAGAAGGCTCCACAGTGTGTTAACCCAGCTGGAGCCTGGAGGCGGGGGGCTCTGGGCTATAGAAGAGAATGGGGGGCTCATGTCTGAGGAAATGTGCTGATTGCTTTCAATGCTCCTCTCGCCTTGTCTCCTGTGTGGCTCCAGGCCTAGGGATAGAAGCAGTCGTGGGGATCACCTTCGCAGCCTTCTTAATTGGCACGCTCCTCACCGCCGCGCTCTGGTGCATTTACTCCCATACCCGTGAGTATCAGCTGCTCTGCCTCGTCTCTGCCCCAGTCTCCCTCCCTCTGCCCCCCTCCCCTCGCATGGTGCCCAGTGCCATGGCCTTGGGGTGAGCTCGGTCTGCTCAGCAGGAGCCGGGTCTCTCCTTGGAGTGCTGCAGGGGATGGTGGGGGAATCCGTGGCTGGCAGGTGCTGATCAGCTGTTGGGCTGGTCCAGGCTCCAGGGTGTGACGCAGCCTTCGGGCCGGATCCCCAGCCGGTGCATCTGCCCCGCAGCTCCACCCCACAGCGACCCAGGGAAAATGCTGTCCTGTTGGAACAGTCCACCCGTCCCTTTTCCTGAGGCCTCCAGCTGGGAGCGAGGATGATGGTTGCTGTCAGAAGGCCCCGGCTCTGTCCGAGGCTCGGTGCTGCTCAGGGAGCCTTGCTCCTGTTCCCAAGGGCCGGAGCAGTTGTTCCCGGTTTGCCTGGAAGCTTATCTGCATAATATGCCAGTATCAATAGAGCAAGGACAACAAAACCCTGCAGCCTATCGCCTTAGCTCCCTCCTGAATAGGCTGGCCAGGCCCAGCCCGGACCAGCTGATTGGTTTATCTCTCGCCTTTTCCTTCCAGCGCCAGTGTAAACACAGGGACAATTGGCTTATCTCAGCACTGACAGGGCCGTGATTGGGCCAGGGAAGATTGAGCCACCACATGCTCTGTGTTCCCTCGTCATCACCTGATTGGCTGTGAGCAACCCCCTGGCGCCTGCCTAATGTTTTCCATTTTTTCTGACATGTAACATCCTCCAGGCCCCATGGCCAAAATGCAGCCGGTCTCCACCAACGCCCCAGCCTCCGAGAGCAGCAGCCCCAGTCACAGCGTCGGCAGCACCCAGAGCACCCCCTGCTCCAGCAGCAGCATGGCCTAGGCAGCAGGCCACCCGGACACCCCCACCCCTCGGGGAGAGAGGGGCTGTCTGGGAGCTCCCGCCCATGGACCTCATCGGAGCCGCAGGCAGCTGAGCTCCCCGACCCAGGGACAGCTGTGGGGGAGAAGCCAGTGGGGCCCGTCCCTCGTAGCCTGCTCTGCTGGACAGGCACAGCGGAGAGGAGCAACCACACCCTCACTTTTCACGCACTCCGGGAGCAACACGCCCACCAGCTCTCCACAGCCAGAACTGAACAAAGGAAGGTACCAGCAGCATGCTGAGGGCTGGGAGACCAGGCCAGGCCCATGCCAGCCACAGGCTGGGAGCGTGAGCATGAGGACTAGCAGCCAGCACGTCGGGAGAGCGGATGGCCCAGGGAGCCTTTCACTCCGAGGCCAGTCGTTCTCTGCCCAGGAGCCAGAGTGCCCGAAATCCCTCTAACTCTCTCCTGCAGCTGTTCAGTAGCCAGCCTGAGAGGGGCTGGGGGCATCTGTCCATTCCCTAATGCAGAGATGGCCCCACTGGATCCCCCCTGTCCTGCCCCCTTTGCAGGCTGCCCCAGGAGAGGGGCCAAAGCCTGACGGGGGCGTAAGGCCTGAACTCCCCTCGCCGGGGTCCCCCAGTCAAGGAGTGGGCTCGGCTGGTGCTGCTGCTGCCTACTTCCCAGACTAGAGGGGAAAGGCCCCTGCTCCCTGCCAATCCCTCCAGCTGAAGAATCACCGTCGCCTCCCACGCAGCCCGTCTGCTGGGATACAGCCCATGAGCAGGAGCGGCCACTCGAATGCCCTGCCACTCACAGCAGAGCTTAAGTCAGCATGAGCCCAGCCCTTTGCCGCGGGCCTCAGCCTGGCAGCCAGTGGGCTCCAGAGCCAGCTGCTTAGACCCACTCCGACTGCAGCGGTTGCCAAACGCGGTCAAGGCGCTGCCGGTCTCCCAGGCCCACTGAGGCGCAGGTGAGGCAGCTGAAATCAGCAGGTCCCCTCGTGGAACCTGGGTGCTCAGACAGCAGCTGTGTGACCGCACTCCGGCCAGGCAAGGGGAGGCTCCCAGGCCAGACGGGGTTTTCCTGCTGGAGGGATTCGTTCCACCCCAGTCCGGTTCCTTGTCAGGGACCGACTCCTACAGATCTGGGCAGGCAGCAGGGAAAGATTCCTCCCCCATGCCCTGGGGCTGCTGGAAAGGCGTGCGCACCCGCACAGCAAATAGGAAGCTGGGATTCTGCTCCCCCATGACTGTGACGGGCAGGGAGGGCAGAGCTCGGGGCCCGGCCGTCGTGGCCCTTTCGGGCCGTGGCACACCCAGCGTTCCTTGCTGTACATAACCCTCTAGCCCTGCAGTCACACAGCCACGGTGCCGAGGCGGCGTGTCAGTTACTAGCAACTATGTACCTTTCCTTTTGGGGGGGGGGTTAGAACTGGGAGCCGAGCTGCCTTCAGCCTGACCAAGCGGGTATTTACGTGTGCGCCAGGCACAGCCCAGGGCGAGGCGCGAGGCACAGCTGCGGGAACACGGGGGCCTGCGTGGCGAAGCCACAGGGGGAGCGTTTTCTGACTGGCGACCTGGCATGACGGCGGGCGCCATGCCTCTGCCCTGGGGCGAGAGGTGGGCTCGGGTCCTGCAGAGCCCCCCCACCACACACACACTTTAAACACCCCCCCCCGGTGCCCCCAGGGGGCTTGACCCTGACTGAAGTGTCACTGATACCGCCCTTTACTAAACGTAACCCACCGGGAGACACCCGCTCTGGCAGCTCGCTGGCCTGTTTCAGGCCCCCCAGGCTGAACGCCTGGCCCTTGGGGGACTGAGTGTAATTAAAGTCACACGTGGACCCCCCGAGCCGTAGCGCAGCTGGCTGGGAGTCGCGGGCTCTCAGCCGAGGGCCTGGCTCCACCGGCCCACAGACCAGGTTTGATGCCCCCAGGCTCAGAACCAGTCTGAATGGCGCCCACCGGCTGGGCCTTGCCCTCCCTCCCCAGCCCCAGGGTTGTGCCTCTGGTCTGTAAATATTTGTACTGACCCGTGTAACCATGATAACGTATCAATAAAAGTGGGTTGACTGGAGCCTGTGGAGAGGATTCCTGGCCCTGCCCAGCCTGCTCCCAGAAAGGCACCAAACAGCACGTCCCCCTTTCCAGCTTTTCCTTGTTTATCCCGGCCCAGCCACAAACCACCTGCAAGCTGGCCTGGGGGGGCGCGGGCGAGCCAGCAACTGCCAAGACCCCACGTGACCTCCCTGTGTTTGGGTTTCCAGTGCATTGTGCACATGCAGCTGTGCAAGCGGCCGGCCAGCGCTGCCCCCAGGGCCCTGGCCGGCCCCACTTCGACAACCAGAAACCCAGAGCAGCACCCTGCTGCCGAAGCGGCAGAGCACGGCCCGAGGGGCGAGCTCCTTCCTGGCTCCCGCACGGCCTGCCGGGCTCACCCTGGCACCAGCGGCCATGGGCTGACAAACAGCTGCGGTACAGCAGCAGGGGAGGGGGTGGGGAACGTGGCCCCAGGCGGGCATCCCCCCACCCTGGAGGAACAGCCAGTGGCAGATGGAGCCATCCTATCCCGCAGCCCCAGGTCTATTCTGGCCTAGAGATCCCAGCCTGCGGGTAGGGATAGCGAAGGGAAAAGCCACATCCCAGCCTGCAGAGCTGACGGGCAGAAAGGGCCAAGCTGCCCCAGACGGGTGTTGGAAGGGCTGAGCCAAAGCCAGCTCTTACTTTGAGCCCCGGGCTGGGGGCTGCCTCGGCTGGCGACGGGGGAGACGCTGCTCCTGCAGGTAGCACCGCTGATGTCAGATGCTCCAGGCTGCCCCGGCTCCCAAAGGCCTTGGGTTAGCCCTGCTCCTGCCCACAGCTCAGCTAAGCCTCCTGGCGCCAGCCCGAGCTGAGCGAGCCCAGGCCCCGCCTTGGCCAAAGCCAGCCCAGCACCCCAGATCCTACCCCGAGCTGCCTTCCCTGGGGTGCAAAGTGAAGCAGGAAAAGCAGCTCCCTGCGCGGGCCGCCTGCTTTTACCCAGGCTGCATGGAAGGGACCAGCCAGGCTGGCCACGGTGAAGCGTCACGTGAGCCGGGCCTAATTCCCCCGACACTGGTGCCTGGCTAGTGTCAGCAGCCCCGTCAGCAGCTGTGTCCCTCCGTCTGCCCCCCGGGAGCTGCAGTCGGCTTGCCCAGCAGATTTGACACCACCCCTGTACATATTAGCTGGGTCCTTGAGCAGCGGCACCCAGGCCAGCCCCGTGTTCACCAGCTCCACCATCGCTCCGTGCAGCAGGCCCCGGGGAAGGGGGGACCACATGCAGAATGGGGTGGTGGGGCTCTAGGGATGAACACAGCTTGTCTAAGCCCTCCAGGAAAGTCCTCCACCTGTGCACGGATGGCCAGGGCCCTGGGTACGTGGAGAGAGACCCAGCCAAGATTTATTAACAGCCAAAAGCCATGGTGCTCTCAGCAGCTTCAGCCCTGCCCACGACTCCACCCGGGCAGCCCAGGCCAGGCCCCAGGCCCCCGCGGTGAATGCAATAACACAGCCAGCAGCCCCGCTGGCTGTTCTGCAGCTGTTCCCGTTCCATCATTTCACTCCATACCAGCCCAGGCCTGGCCCCTTCCCTTTGCACTGTATTGAGTTAGGCTGGAACCTGCCCCATGCCCCTTACTGCACACACCAGCCTGCAATGGGCATCAGAGCAGCCAGCAGCCTCCCAGGTAAAGCCCCCAAGGCCAGTGCCCTGGTCATGGAAACCTCCCCCCTGAGAAAGTGGAGCAGCAAGCGAGGTTTAAAAATCCAGAGCTGGGTGCAATCCAGCTGTTGCCTCTGGGCCAGGCTGGTGGCCGGCTTAGCACCAGATTCCAGTGCCGATTGGCAGGGCAGAGCTGGAGTAACCAGCAGGTGCAGCCCACCTAGGGCTCAGACACACAGAATTTCATCATCTAAACATTAACTACCGCTCGCCCGTTGGGAGCTCAGCAGAGCAGTGGGGCGCGCCCCAGCCCCTGCAACCCAGGTGAGGCCCACACCTGGAAGGTGAAGAGCCCTTTGAAATGAGCAGCCAGGGGGAATGCTGCTCTTTCAGGAGCAGGCCCTTAGCCTGCCTCAGTTTCCCCACTGGCAGAGTGAGGGTCATTTTCCAGCCCACACCAGGGCCAAGGGGATTAGGCTAGGTAAGGGGCTTCACAAACAACTCCAATGCTGCCTGGCAACACAGCTCCCAGCCTCATCCCCGCCAGGCGCCCTACGCGCCCAGGAAGGAGATGACACTGTACAACGCCACGATGAGCAGGACATTTATTTCCATCAACAGGTCAATGGAGCAGACTCTCATGTAACAGCAGCACCATGGCTTCATTTTCAAACCCTAATCTCCCAGGAAGCAATCTGGAAATTGAATCAATACTCTTTTTTAAGTTGCAGAAGATTTAATAAAAACCCTATTGCTCGTTAAATTATTGGAGACTCAGTACCATTCAGCCTTTCAACATCATCTGAGGCTGGACACGGGGAGCAACTTCCAACCTTCCTTCATGCTTGAACCCAGAATGTCCAGGCTGCAATTGGAGGTGTGATGGCAGCTGGTGTAGACCCCAACATGGAGCTGGCTAGCGAGAGCAGCATGACCTGCACAAGCCTGCCCAGGAGCCTAGGGACTCACTTGAGTGGCTAGCCCATCCTGCCGCAGCCTCCTTGCTATTGGTATTTGTGTTAGCTGGATCAAAAGTAGCACAGGTCCATCTACCCACGCTGCAGTTACACCTCCCACGGCTGTGCAGACACCCCCCCCCCAGCTCCCTTCAGGCTAGTTCTGCAAAGATCTTTAAAGGAGGGGGGGGCGCGACCCATCCCTGGTTAGGACAACATAGGGGAACACTAACCAGCTAGCAGATATTCCAGCCAAGGCAAACGTAGGCAGCTCGGCCCCATCTCCCACCTGGGGAGACCAGCTGCTTCGCTCATGGCTTATGCATGGCCCCTTACTAAGGGACAGGCGACACTCCGGAGCCAGCGGCCTGGCTCCAACAATCCTCTGTATCACAGCAGGACCTGCAGGCACCAGCATGCCAAAGCACAGCTCTGTGGCAGTGCAGAGGGGCCCAGCCGGCTTCTCCCCCCATCTCCGCTGCCAGGGCCAGTGTAGTAACCCAGCCCCCGGGAGAGGGGCAGGCTGCAGCAGGCCGCGTGGGTCACTAGTCTGTTGCACGGGAGGTTCCGCAAGGAGGTCCGTGGATCAGGCAGCATTATTCTGTCACCCAGACCCGCACGTGGAGTGGCTGGGCCAGAGGCCATGGGCTGGGTTTGCTGAGAGGGGGACATGCTGGGCCCCAAGCTTTTCGCAGTTTGAGATTTACCCAGGTCAGCCCCTGAACCCTCCTGCCCCCCTCCCCCCACTGGGGAGGGGTTAGGGCATCAGGGGCTGGGTCAGGCCCCAGGCTGCCGTCAGCGTACTCAGAAACAGGCACTGTGGCAGTAAAGGGGGAGGGGAGGAGAGACACTTGCCAGCGTGCGAAGGGCTGGGCCCGTCTCCCAGGGCGAATGCAGCAGAGCACTGGGAATAGCTAGTGAGGCGGCTGCATGGCACAGCCAGCAAGGGGAGCAGGTAGGGCAGTCCATTGCAAAGCCAGGGAGGGGTTTCCTTCAGCGTGACAAGCCCCAGGGCCTGGTGCAGCCTGGCAGTGCCCCCTTACTGGAGCCGCCCATGCTGGGAATGGCACTGATCTGGCACAGCATCGTTCAGAGCTCCCCAGCCCTCGGGCGGAGACACACACGGCTAGGACCGGGCCACAATGCACTGGGCCACCTAGTCCCCCCAGCAACCCACGGCGTTCCTAGAGACCAGTAGCAGGATTTTGCACAGGCCCCATGGCAGCGAATAGCCCCACATGCTCAGTGTGTGCACACGCCCCAACGTACGATCAGCCATAACAGGGCTGGTACCGACCCTCGGCACGCACCGGCCCCATTAGCAGCCCCACTCAGCACAGGGACCAGCCAGGCAGGAGCCTGCAGAAGGGGGAGACACGCTCAGCTGCCCAGCAGCACCAGGCTGGACTTGCTGTGATCAAACACAGCTCCACAGATCCATGCTCAGGGGCTAGATGGCCCAGACCTCACACTGTCTGCCCAAGCACCCCGGCACTGCATGCGTTTGAGGATGGGGTTCAAAGCCCAAGCCCACAGCCTGGCCGATGTCCGGAGTGGGTCCAGCCAAAGCCCTCGCACTGGGGCAACAAATCTGGATACAGGGATACAGCAGACAGGTGGCTATTAGTCACTGAATCAGGTCATGGCTGGCCTGGCACAGCTGGGTACTCGTGTCAGCAGAGCCTGGCACATACTGACCGTGCCATGCATCTGGGCACTCCAGTGAGCACAGACAGGCCATGTAGTGCACCCAGTGCAACCAAGACCTTCGCAAGAGCATCTCGCTCCCCCCACCCCAAAGGCCGCCCTGCTCACAAGTGGCTTTCAAGGACCCATCTCCGGTAACATGCTTGCCCCAGCCTGGCTGTTTCTTCGAGCAGGGACAGCTAGCTCGCTGCCTGGCCTGGTGCAGCTTTCAGCGGGTTTCTGCATGGAGCACGCCCCCAGAGGGCAGCAAGAGACGCTGGCTGAGCTGTGACGACACCAGGCGGCTCGTGGCCTTGGGGCTTGGAGCCAGTTTCCACAACTCTTGCGCCAGAGGGACTCCGCTCCTGCGGACAGATGCTTCCTGAAGTCCCTGCTCAACGAGGGTCCCTGAGAGATCAGGCCGATTCCCAGCACCCGTTTGCCTGGACACTGCCGGGCGGTGAAGTTGTCATCCTAAAGCGACCTGGGTAGCAGGCCAGCCACCAGCACAAATAAGAGAACTGCATAAGGTCCAGAAAGCAGCCCGGCTCCTCAGCTACTAGGGCTTCCCGACCCCCAGACCCACATGCCCTGCCCACCAGTCATTCATAGTTACCGTCCAGCAGAGAGCGAGCCCGGCCTGCCACCTGGCCCACCCGAGTCTGGGGGGATCACCCACTTTGCAAATGGCATGCAGAGAGCCCTCACATCCCACTGCCCAGCACTGGAGAGAGGCAGGAGTCTCAGCCCCAGTGCACAGATCTCTGCACCGGGAGGAGACGGGAGGGAAAGACAGGGACAAATCCTGCACTAGGCCCCTCTGCACTCAGGGATGACCTGCCTACACAACACTGGAACTAGTGCACATGGACCCCATTGCCCCATTGTTGGCCTGGGAGAAGCTCACATAATGGGGCACCAAGACCACTGTGAGAGACTCCTTGGCACTACAGTGCATGGATCTCACCCCACGGGCTGTGTGAACATGCCCGGCAGCACCAATGGGTGGGAGTGAGCACGACTTGGAGCCCTGTGCCTGGCCCACAGCTCCCACCGCACTCCTGGCCTTCGATCACAGGCAGTTCCAACCGGATCCCAATCCAGACACACCTCAGCACTAACGGCCTCTGACGAGCACCCAGCCAGAGCTTCCGGAGCCGATTCTACACACAGGTGGCAGGACCTGGCTGCATTCACCCAGGGCAAGCCCAGTCCCAGAGGAGCCAGAACAGTCTGAAGCAGCGAGACTCAAACCCATCCCTGGATCGCACACCGCTCGGGTTGTGCGGCTCAACCGAACAGACACCAGGGCAGAGACAAAGGCACCAGGGCGGTGGGGGAGAGACTCTCGTTCTGCGGGGTGGCTGGGGCAGCTCCCAGGGAAGGCAACGCACCAGCCAAGGGAGCCTGATGCTCAGCTTGGGTCTGCCCGATGCGCACGCCTCCCTCTGAATGCCTGGCAGGGGAAAGCCTCACCCTCGCAGACGAACACTGCCCTCCTCAGCCCCCCGTGGGGCCCAGAGGCTTGGGTAGGGAGAAGGCAGCAGAAGGGCAGAGACCAGGAATTCCACTCCGGCCCACGTAAGAGCTCCCCACCTGTCTGCTTGGCTAGGCCAGGGACGGTGAGCTTCCGGGAAGGACAGCGCCACGGAACATCAAGTAAACGTATGGTGCAGCCAGTCCCTGCGGGCAGAGATCAGCTGCTGGGGTCTCACCCCAGGCTCCCCAGCCCAGGCAATAGGGACACCAGCATGAGTGCAGTGACCAAATCCTGGCACTAACGAGCGGATCCTGCTCCGGGGAGGTGGGGGTGAGGTTGAATGTGAGTCCTGGTGCCAGGGTGCGGGTGTCACCGCCGCGAGGGGCTCTGCACAAGATCCCGGTGCCGGGACGTGGACCCTGGCTGCCCCACTCCCAGTCCTAGGGGGTAGGTCCAGCTGCTGCAAAGGGCTCAGCACAAGAACCCCAGCAGCACGAGCAGTGCCCAGCCCCTGAGCCGTTTCAAGTAAACCTCAAAAAGCAGCACGGAGGCCCCCCCACCACAGGCACCCGCTACTGCGAGAGCGATTGGTCGAGCAGCTTCAAGACTCCGCCCACCAGGTGCAGGCTTCCCGTGACCAGCACACGGATGGCGGCCGCTTCCTTGAGCAAGACGGCCCCGCTGCCTGCCACGGGGTGCAGGTGGAGCCCCTTGGTGGCGGGCGCCTGGAAGTGCGGGTCCCTGCCCTGGGTGATCCACTGCAGGGCGTGAGAGATGCAGGGGAACACCAGCGAGTTGGAGTTGAGAGCGCGCTCGGAGGAGGGCACGAAAAGCAGGGGGCTGCGCAAGGGGTCTGGCTTCAGCAGGCTGCCCACGCCCTCCACCTGCATGTGGGGAGACAGCCAGAGGTCCTGCCCCACCTTCTCCTCCATCAGCTGGTTCCACTTCTTCTGGTTCTCCAGGCAGCGGGTCAGCATGTTCTCCAAGGTGACGTTGAAGTTCTGTTGGTCTGCAAAGGGGAGAAGAATGAGCTGGCATCAGAGCAGCCTTGGGACACTCCCACCCTGCCTGTTTTAATGGCCTCTCTGCCTCCAGACAGCCAGGCCCCGGGGGGACACCAGGCCACTGCACCCCACCAGCCAGCAAATCCAACCCTGCAGAGCAGGAGGGTCACAGACAAGACGGGACTCCTGGCATGGGCCGACAGAGCAGTGCTGTGGAGCCAGCCCTGGCTTTGTGGGGCCGTGAGATTGGCAGGTGGGCTGGCCCAGCCCAACACGCTGGTACATGGGGGAGCCCGCCAAGCCCCACAGCCTGCGGAAGCAGCACATGTCTCCCCAAGAACCTTGATCAAAGCTATCTGACCAGCGCTGCAGACAGGGCCCAAGACTCTGCAAGAGATCCCGAGCCCCTGCAGAAAATTCCAGCGAGGAGGTTTCCAGGGGCAACTTGCTCCCACCCCCACCATTGAGCCAACCCGTGCCCCTGGGGCAGGAATATTCCCGGCACAGACATCCCCCAACAGGACGGGCAGGGCAGAATCCAAGCCAGTCAGGGCATGCCTGCTCTAGGGCAAGTTCATGAGCAGACTCCCAATGGAGCTCCCCTCCCTGGGTACTGACCTGCGTTCCCCACCGCAGACACCTCCGTGAAGTTGGGGCAGAAGACGGCGTAGTCAAACTGGCAAGGCTGGGGCACAAGAGACACAGCATCAGCACAATGGCCATGCCAGCATAGGGGGTTGGTGCTGCAGCCTTGGGCGGCCCACATTGGGGTGGATGGAGGGGAGGAGGATGAGCAGGGGATTCAGCTCCTTCCAGGAAGGACCTCGGCTACTGGCTCAGCATCCGTCATTATTCCTGCTGGAACCATTACAAACCAACAGGGGTGCATCTGGTCTAGAGGGTAGCCAGGACGCCTGGGTTCTATTCCTGCAGAGGCTACTGGGCAAAGCAGCCAATCAATCAGTCACTGGAAACTGTCCCTTCCCCTTCTATTTTCACTTCTGCCACTATCGGGGGCAAATCCAGACCCCAAGACTCTATCCCGGGATCGCTCCCAGCCACTGCGCAGGGAGGCCGGAAGACCCCGAGAGTCCGGGCTGTTACAGGAGACAGAGGTGGACTGGACTCTAAGGGGCATGGCTGGGGGACAAGAGCGGGCCACTAGCACCACCTGGTGGCACCCTGTGGGATGTGTCAAAGCAGGCCCTGAACAACCAGGCAGGTGCAGGTCAGACACCACTAAGGGCCCCACCTGGGCCAGGCCCCACGGCTCTGAATCCACCTGGCACGTCAGATCCATCTGCCAGCTCCTGCCCGAGGCCAGCATTACCCCATGGCACAAAAGGGGAGAACGAGGAACAGAGGGAAACGACTTAGCCAAGGGTTGGGGCAGAGCTGGGAACAGAACCCAGGAGTCCAGGCCCCCAGCCTGAGCTGGATGCTGGCAGCCTCAGATACCCAGCACCATCTGTAACCACCCTCCCTCAATTCAAATCCATTTGATCTGCTCCCCCCACATGGGCCAGGAGGCCCATCTGCTGCCAGCCCATTTTCTGCCCTTACCAACCCACCTGCCCGGCACCAGCCCCCCACCCACCAGCTTGTATCAGGCAGGGCCCCAAGGCACCGACAGTCTCACCAGCAGCAACTTGAGCAAAGCAGCTGTGTCCCGGTCCCCCGTGGCGTTGAAGAGAAGCACCCGGACCTCAGAGCCGCTGCAGACGAGAAGGGACCAGCCTGGTCAGCTTGGGGGCTCTTGCTCCCAGCCCCACTTCGGAGCTGGCTGTGCTAGCAGCTGCCACCTCACAAGGCCCAGGAAGTCCAGGAACCCCAACCCAAGGCCTGTCCCACCAGGGTCCCTTCCCCATCTGCTCTGGTGTCCTGGGACCATGCAGGTTGCTGAGACAAACCTCAACCCTCCTCCCCTTCCCGGCCTACCACCTCCAAACATACCCTGCTGGGCTGGGGCCCGCCCCCCTCCAGCAGGGAAAGGCAGGTGCTGCTCGCACCCTTGGCATGGCTGATGGGCAGGCTCTCCGCCGCAATGGGCCACAGGAGCCTCATTCTCAACCCAACAGGCACTTCACTGGGAAATCCCCACATAAGCCTGCTCCCTCCAGCCGCCCTAGGTGGGGCTCAGGCAAAGTCTGTGACAGCAGAGCGACGGATCCCCCTCCCCATCCCAGTGCCTCCTTACTCCACAGGCTTCTCCTCGTTGAGGGCTGCCTGGCGGAACCAGCGCACGCAGGCCTGCACGCTGCTGGTGGTGTGCGCCCCGTCGACGTACCACGTCACCGGCCCGTGCTGCAGCACCTGGGTGCGGCCCAGCCACTCTGTGTCCCGTAAACCTGGGAGGGGAGAGGGGGCTATGAGGGGCCAGGCCCACGCAGCAGGGACTCGCAGCCCCCTACACCAGCCACAACCCCGCACACCCGCCACTGTTGTTCAAGCCAAGTTACCAGCTCCCTGGCAGGCCCGACCCAGCTAAGTTATGGCAGCACGAGGGGAGTGGGGACAAAGGGATCAGAGACCGGGGGGCGTTGGTGTCATAAAGCAGGCCTGGCTTGTTAGAAGGCTGGGGACTGGCATGGGGCCCTGCTGACAGCACTGTGACCCATCCACTCTGGGGCCTGTGCATAGGTATGTTCATCCCACCCAGAGCCATTCCTGTCATAAAACCTTCCAGGGGCATTTCACTGGGGAGACCCCAACACCACCAACAGATCCCCCCTTCCCCTTATTCTGGTACCAAGCTCCCCCAAGCCCTGCACTGTGCCAGCCCAGCCAGCTCCCTAACCCCCCAAGGCGGCCACGGCAGCCAGCCCCCCCAGTTCTAGTGCTGGCTGTGGGGGCACCGGCCCTGTGCCGCAGAGGCAAGGAGCCCGACAGTGACTCGTTACGCCCATGGCCTGCCCACCTCATAGTGTGCTAACTCCCAATGGGGCAGGTACTGATTGCAGACACCCCACCCAGCCCAACCCTCCTGGGCTCCTGCCCTCAGGCCAGCGGCTAGGGTCATGGTGTGGGCCGGCCCAGTGCTCCCGGGGAGGTAGGATGGTGCAGTGGTGAGGGGCCAGCCTGGGACTTGGGAGACCTGATCTCAATTCCCTGCTCTGCCACAAACCGCTGTGTGACTTTGGGCCAGTCACTTGGTCTCCCTGTGCCCCGTCGGTAAAACAGGGGTATCAGCCCTGCTCTGCTTTTGGTTGCATGGATAAACCCATTATATATTGAGGCTACTGTAATATGCCCAGCTAGTGACTGCTTTGCACTGCCCAGGGACCCCACAATGGGGCACAGTACGGGGGGTAACAGCGGAGCAGAGAGAAGGCCCCTCACTCTGCAGCAAGGGGCAGAGCAGCAGGCAGCCTCCTAGGCCAGGTGGCGGAGAGACAATGACCCTTCGCCAACAAACAGGCCGGGAAATACCCAGCACGGGAGGCAGGGGGAGGTCGGGTTGGTGCTGGAGGCTGGTGATGTACAATCGCCCTCAGCACTTGCTGGCAGCCCAGGAAGCACCAAGCTCCTAAGGGTTAAAACTGAGGAACAGGAAGAGCTAAAGGGCAGCAAGTTCAAAATGTCAATGCCCGGGGTGGGCTGGGGGCAGAGTCCGGGGCCTTGGCGGTTACGGCCCACAGCGCTTTGTTATCTCCAACGAGCGGCAGCTCCGGCCTGATCCCAGTTCGCCAAAGCCAAGGGCAGGCACTAGCCAGGGACCCACAACAGAGCACCCAGGAAATGCCCAGGACACACAGGGGGCACCGGAGCAGCAGTGGGGGGGTGGAGGGGACGACACCCACGTCCTTACCCTGCACCATGGAGCCGCTGGGCCTGAAGGCAGGTGCCAGGGGCACGGGTCTCTTGCCTAGTAGCTCAGCACTTGGCTGCAAGTCCTTCAGCTCCCCAGTACCTGAAAGATGGAAGGCGGGCTGAATCACCATTCTAACAGCCCCACATGGCCGCCTGTAGCCCCCTCTCCTCACACACGATTGGACTCCAGTCAGCCTGGTAGAGCCACCCCGGGGGTATATTCCATAGAAACGAGGGTGGATTGATTTAAATCAAGGTGATTGAAATCACCGAGTGGAAAACCTCAGTTCAAATCGTGGATTTTCATCAAGGGTTCCATTTGCACTTCGGTTCTTTTCTAGAGACAGGTGCATCCTCGTGGGTTGATACAAGCATCAAGGAACTTTCACATTACATGCGGTAGCTCTTTTTGCTCCCCAGGAGAGTATACGCTAACTATACACATTTACTTAAGCAATTACGTAGCTTCAGATTCTTGTTAATTGCATATTTTTAGTATGTTAGAAAATGGTGTCTGCTGCATTGCTTCTATACTAGATAATTAGCACTTTGCTCATGATTTGTGTCAAGCTGCATTAGGACAGTACCTGGAATTGCACTACACACAAAACAGCACATCACATTTAGTTTTAAACAAAACCACCTTTGATGATTTGAATACACAAATTGCAGTGTTTTTTCGTGAGGTAGAGAGTGTTTCCAGGGTGGGTGGAGTCCTAAATACTCATAATTTGAAAACTGAGCCAATCAGAGCTCAGGACAGGAGACGCTATAAAATAGGGGCCTGAGACCTTCCAGGGGGGTCACTGGAGGTCCTGATGAGCTACACGATGGGGTCTCTTGAACTCAGAGGCTGGGTCCCAATACCTGTGATGACTTTGCCAGTCTCATGCACCCAGCAGCATAGCCCCTGGGCCCCCCCACAGGATCCAGCCCTTAACACATTACGCAACCTATCACATTGATAACACTTGTCCTCCAAAGTTAGATGTTTTTCCCCTGGTTCTTTCTTTGCATAGAAAAGCAGCCTTGAACTCTAAATCTTTATAGAGGCTCTTCTACACTGATTTTGAATTGAAATGTTTTTAAAGGGTTTAAAGACCTTAACATATTTTGTATTAAATTCACATTTCATTTTAAACAGGTTTATTTTTAAAAAGAAAAAACTTATAATTTAAATAAAATAAAAACTATCCCAAGTATCCTACACCCCTCGCCAGCAGCGCTCCCCTTAGCTTAGCCCCCAGCACGCTGGTAACTTGCTGGCTCGTATTTGCTGGGTGCAGACAGCCCTCCCTCCCAGTCTCCCATAAAGTCCCAGCCAGAGCTCCTCACCCTCGACACACACAGGGCACTTGGGAAAAGAGCAGCACCAGGCTGGATGGTCACATGCTGCATAAGAGCGGCCCGCCTGGAGCCCTGCGAGCACACGCACTGAAGTGCAACCCAATCAGGACTTTCCCAGAATCTCCTCGGAGAGACGCCCCAACCAAGGAACTAGAAGCAAGGGCTGGAATGTGCTGTTCAGCGCAAGGAGGGGCGACCCCAGCCCCCTAACAAGCTCCCCCCTTCCCATACGCACAAGCTCCCCCGTGCCGGGGCCTTGCTCCTTACCCTGATACCCCTGCTGCTGCAGCCAGGCCCGTGAGAGCTGCAGGGCCAGAGTGGCATTGCATCGCTGGTGCTCGCCCGCCAGCCCCAGCTGAAGTGCCTGATCATCCTCTTCGAAGGCTCCCAAGTCAGGGCACAGGTAAAGCGGGCACTGCATGGAGAGAGGGGGCAGAGGGTGAGCCCTGCCCAGCTCACCCACCTCCACGGGGCAGCTCCACCAGCTGACCGAGAGCCCCCGATGGGTTCTGCAGAGCTACAGACCAGGCAGCAGCGACTGAGGCAACCCCACCCCCGGGCCCTGGGGCTCGTATTCATGGGTCGTCACGTTTCCATCTGGCCCTGCCTCCCCAGGGATGGACCCCGAGGGGCGCTGGCACCAGCAGCACCCACACTCAGCTGCTGCACAGGAGAAACGGGGGCACCCCTGGGATCACAGGCCCGGGGCCACCCTGCAAAGGGTCCAGAGTGAGGAGGGGCCACAGGAGCCCAACCCTGCCTGGGGAGGAGAGAGGGGGTTGGGATCCCAGGCCTCTGGCCAGCACCATCCACGGGGGCAGGAGCCATCTGACGTCCCAGCCCCTGCACCGGGCGTGGGTGCAGCAGGGAGAGTCATCTCCCCGACCCAGGGACAGCAGCAGGAGGGGGCAGGGGAGGCATGTATATAACAAGAACTCACCGAGCTCTCCCTGGCTCGCACCCTCAGCACCTCCAGGGGCCGCTCAGGCTGGGGCACTGTGAACGCCGGCACACCAGGCTGAAAGCAAAGCAGATGTCGTCACAGGCAGCCACCCAGCCTGCCACCCAGTGCCGAGGCCCCCCCATCCCCATGCAGACACCTGGACTCCAGTGACAGGCTGCTGGTCTGGGGCAGACCTGGACACCCAGGGGTGAGCTAGGACCCCTCACTCAGATTCAGAGATTGCCCCTCAGATGGGCCCCTACCCCCCCAGGCTGCCCTGTGCCGTCTGGCTTGGGACCAGCCTCCTGCACCAGGGGAGTTTCACTTCCCAGATGTGGGCAGAATTGGTCCTGCTGAACCAGGACCAGCCCGCTCAAGGCTGTCAGAGACCCCCTCTCCCCACAGAGCCCCATGGTCTCTACCTTGAAGATGCCCCCTTTCTGCCAGGCGATCTTCTCAATGGTGTCCCCCAGGATGCTGGTGTGGTCGATCCCCAGAGAGGAGACCCCGCACACGATCGGCTTCCTGTAGACAGAGAGAAGGTGAGAGCCCAGCGCCAGGACTCCCGAAGGGCAGGCTCCTCTCCCCAGCTCTGCAGCCAGCACCCAGGAGGCCCCAGAACTCAGGGCACTGGCTGGCTCACCGGATCGGCACAGAGCCTTTCACCTCCTGGGCTACGGCTCACAGCGAGCCCAACATGGCTGGAAGCTCTTATCACCTCAACGACAGTCAATGGCTTCCCTGGCCAGGAGTCCCCATCACAGCCACCAGGACTGGGCCCCTTTGTCAGCAGAGGGGTCAAGAACTGACCGAACTCCCCTACCGGGCCCAGCAGGGTTGAGGCCCATTGACTCACCAGCCCCTGCCCAGGCTGTCCCTGCTCTGGGGAGAGCTGGTGGCTTCCGCATGCGAGTTTCACCCGGAGGCAATAAGGAGGCGGGCACCTGGTCCCAGTGCCAGGCCCAGCCTGCTCCTACCTGATGATGTTGGTGCAGTCGTAGGCACCCCCAATGCCAACTTCCACCACAGCCAGATCCACCTGGAGGGGAGACCAGAGCGTGCTAAGGGACCACCTGTGGCATCCGTGCCCAACACGCAGGAGACAGAACAGCCCCATGGCACAGCCCTGAGCAGGGACAGAGGGCTCAGCACCCTTACGCAGGGCATGCTCTACTCACAGCAGCCCTTCAGACACATGGGACCCTGGCCCAAACACACGAGGCAGGGACAGGCTCCGATCCAGACTCTCAGAGAAATGTCCCAGGAATGCACAGCTACCCAGAGAGCTGCCCGCATGCCAGACTGCAGCAGAAAGACATGCACGTAAGAGAGCATGAACCCAGGACTTTTAGCTACACACGCACAGGCCTCTGCCCTGGAGGCTAGAGGAGAAGCTCCACTCTCTCTCAGCAGTATTACAGCTTTTACCCTGTGGGCTGCAGCCACTAGGGGGCAACAGTCACACACACAGGCGGTCCCAGGGGGCAACTACAGCTGTGCAGATCCCAGGACTCTCCTACTCGGCATCCCTGGGAACGGAACCAGGAAAGGAGGAAAAAAACATGGGAGAGGAAGGGTGGGAGAGACAAAGGCCCCTGGCCCCATCCCAGCAGCAGATGGCTGGGTAAGACTGGGGCCAGGGAGTGACAGGGCCCCGGGCTCCGGTGGCCAGACCCTCACCACCCACAGCTCCCACTACAGCCTATCAGGGCTGCAGCCACTTGGCACCGTGGGGCACTGGCAGGAACTTAGCCAACCGCCCGGAGGGGAGGGAGTGCCATACCTTCTCCTGCAGGAAGACGTGGAAGGCCATGATGGTGAGGAAGCGGAAGTAGGCGGGCATGCTGGTGTGGCCGGGGTCCTGCAGGACAGACCGTTATCTCAGGGACTGCAGGGCAGCACCTCTACCCCAGCCCCTTTGCTAAGCCACAGCCACAAGCACACTCCTGCCACAAGACCAGCAAGGGACTGACCCTTCTCCCAGCGCTGCCGGCCTCCGGCCCAGCCCCCAGGGCAGGAGCAGAGACACAGCACGTCCAGGGCCCAGCTCATCTGAGAGATTTACAAGAAGAGTCAACTTCGCCACGCAGCTGGGGAACTGAGGCACAGAGCGGGGAAACTGACTTCCCAAGGACACCTAAAGGTCCTCTGCTGTAAGCACTAGATAACCCGCCCACACCCAATCCCTACAAGGAGCCAGCCTGGGGGCTGCGGTCTGACTTTGCCTGGGCCCCCTCTGGACCCAGGAGCATAGACTCTGCTACTGTACCAAAAGGGGTGACTCCCCTAGCATGGGAACTTACTGGCCTGGTCGCGGGGCACACTCCTGCCGAGGAATGGGTGTTCCAGTGCCTCGTACAGGCTCCAGGAGACAGCAGTCGCTTCTACCCACCCGGGGCAGCAGCAGCCCCCTCCCAGAGCTCCCACCACACACACCTTGGTCTCCTCCAGCCGGTTATACACCTGCCAGAAGTACTTGCTGAAGAGCTCCTTGCTGATCGGCTGCCCGTCGATGCGGATCCTCTCACGCACCTGGACCAGGTGGGGAGAGCTGGGGTGATGGGAGAACAGACTGTCAGCACCCGGGACAGCTCCCCCATTCCACCCTCCCTGGGGTGCCACTCAGCACCCTGAATCCGTCCCCCAGGAGCCACCGGGGCGCCCACCTGTAGAAGCCAGTCTTCAGGCCATAGTTGCGGAGGATGCGCTCCGTGAAGGCACACGTCGAGCCCTGGAAGAAGAAGTCGGCAGCATTAACCATGGAGCCAGCCCTCCCCAGCAGCCCCCAGCAAAAGGGAGCCCCCTGGAGTCCCCCTCATCCCCACTGTACCAGTGCCACTCTCCTAAACCTCCAATACCCGCACCCTGAGTGTCCCATGACCCATCACACGGCCGAGTTATTTCCCCTCTCACCCTATCCTGCTGTGTGCTGGCCCATCGTTTCCCCCTCGCCCTGCACCCCACAGAATCCCCTCACCCCAACGTGCCCTGTTCCACCCCCCACCCCCCAGCAGTGACCCACGCAACCCCACCCCAATGCCCCCGCTTACCTTGCCCTTTGTCCCAGTTACGTGGATAATGTTCAGTTGATCCAGGTCTTCGACCTGAAAGACAGAGGTTAACAAACCCATGAGAAGGGGGTCAGGGCTGGGGAGACCCCCCCGGCCCGGGCACTGTGCCAACATGGCGGGAGGGCTCACAGCCAGTCCCACCGAGCAGAGAGGCCAGTACAGCCTGGGATGCTCACCCCCCCCCCCCCGCCCTCCAGCCATCCCTCGCCACAGAGCGGCACTGAGAGGGCTCTGCTCAGCCAGGGAAGGGGACATGACAGCTCTCACCTTTAACCCACTTCGCTCCAAGAAGCCTTTCATGGCCTCCAGCTGCACCTGGGGGTCTCCTCTCTCCCGCTTCACCTGGTCCAGGTAACTGGCATTGGTCTGGAGGGTGTTCAGGGTCCGGATGGCATCCTGGAATGAGACTCACAAGATGAGGCACAGATCAGCTCTCCGCTCGTAGGAGGGGATGGTGGCCAAGAGCCAATGCTCCAGCCCCCTGTGCGTGCTGGAAGGGGGTCTCCTGCTCACCCACAGAGGAGCCCCTGGACCTACATACTAAGCTCAGGGGCTGCCAGGCAGCTCAAGCCCACACTGCTCCCACCCATCACTGGCTCCCAACACACAGCTGCCAGCCTTTGCTCTTCTGGGGGAGGGCGACCTTACCGACCAGGCCTCCCCGCCGTCAGAGCCCTCATCACAGGTGGGAAGATAGCCACCTCCAACCCCAGTGCCACCCACCCAGCCCATCTCCACACCAGGGCCCTCCCAGGTGAAGGGCTCATCAGTCACCTCCTGTGCCAAGAGCCTCGTCTGCCCTGCACCAAGAGCAGTGCTGAAGCGTGACAAAGGGAAGCAGTAGGATCTCCCTCCTCTCCCTGCCAGGTGAGCGCTGATCAGAGCACGCCAACCCCAGCTTTCGCTTCCAGCCAGAGCAAACAAAGGCTGAGCTCAGGGCCCAGAGGGGGTGCATCACTCCAGGCAATACGCTGCACCACCGTTTACTCACACGCTGGAGGGTGAAACATAGTGGCCAGGCCAGAACCAGCCACTAGCTCCGTCTGCTCCACAGTGGCCCTTGGATGCATGGGCTGCATTCAGAACAGCAGGACTTGCACACAGCTAGCTTGTCTTGCCCCGCTATCGTTATGGGACTGCAATTACACAGTCCCAGGTACAGTGCTTAGAGCAGAGGGAACTGAAATCCAGTGGCCTTTAGAGTTTTCCCCACTAGCTAGGTGACTGGCAATGCATCTCCCTGCCCTGTCTGCTCAGACCAGACTCGGGGGCCAGGGGAAGAGACACGACTGATAACTCTTTAAAAATACACAAGATGAAGGACCACAAAAATAAGGGGCACAAGCGACACCCCAGATGAGCGATCCCCACAGAGGAAGCGTCTCAGCAGTAATTCAGAAAACATGACAGGCAGCTGCCAGAGGAGGCAAGAGAGGGGGAAGGTGCGCAAAATCAGCTCTGATAACTATGTCCAAGGCACGGAGAGTGGGGACAGAGCATACCCCGATCACGAGATGAGCCCCAGGAACGCAAGCTGGAGCACTGGTGTAACAGAGCCCCAGGGTGCGTTGGGTGGGTCCAAGGGCAGTACAATCCGCCCACAGTCTGCACCAGAACACTTTAAGGGCAATATATTTTCACCCATTGCCATGACTAACATTAGTTGTATTGCAGTCGTGCCTAGAAAGCCCAACAGAGACTGGGGTCCCATTGTGCTAGGCATGCCAAACATGCATGGGAGAGACCCTCTGCACCAAAGAGTTTACAGTCTAAACAGACAAGACAGTCAGTGTGAGAAGGGAAACTGAGGCACAAAGAGTGCCTCATCATGGCAGAATCAGTACCCAGGGTTCCTGACTTCCAGTCCTGTGCCCCAACCATGGGACCACAGCAATAGTATCTGCAGCAGAGCATTTAAGGGCTATATAATCTCACTCGCTTTGATCACAGCACTGTCTGAGTCAGAGTGTTTTAAGGTCCTGGTTTTCCAAGGCCCAGAATAGCCTCTTTAAATGCTGATTAATACATTTCCCAGGGTTGGCTTTAGTTCCAGTATGCCTTGTGCAGAGTAGCAATTTATTGGGGTTTCTTAAATTATCTCTGGGGGTAGACTGTGCAGCTCTGGCAGGGGCTGGACGGTAACCAGATCTACTCCCCACAATTCACCTCTATAAAAAGCACTAGCCATGCTCCTCCAGATACATGTGGCTATTTATACTGGGTGGGATAGTGTATCTCCCAGGGAGCAAAGACACCAAACGCCCCGTCCGCTTCTTGCCTTCTCTCAGCTGAGCCAGACGGAATCAGGTCTTCCCCACACTGCACCAGAACTCCTGCTCTCCCCACATCATGCACTGCTCCCCTTCTCCAACCAGGACAGGAAGCTAGCCCACGACCTGTGGTGACCCCAAGAACTTCCCAGCTAGACCCAGGCACACGGTAGCTCATGCAGATTATTATTAGGCACTATCACGATACCCGGGACTCCCGTCATAGACCAGGCCCTGCTGTGCTAGGTGCAGTACAAACACTTAATGAAGAGACTGTCCCTGCCCCAGGGACCGAAACCCACCTCCATCCTTCATCACTATTACTGGTGACTACTGACATCGGGACACCCAAACCTGACACGACTCAGAACTCAGCCAGGTGTTAAGGCTGTGAATCCCATGTGATCCTGACTCACTTCCTGCCCAAACATCATTTAATTAGACACAAAGACCCCTCCACATTATGTTCATGATGGAGCTGCCCGGTCAAAGTTGGTTCTAAGGGTAGAAATCACAGTTTCCACATGAATGTTGAACATGGCTACGTCCCAGACCCTTCTGACTTTACAGGAGGAGCCGAGTAAGCAACACAGCAAGCGCCAGAAAAAGCGAGCGAAGACATTAGCCGGGTGCAGCCAGCCACGTTAATGGTGCTTTGGAACATGATTGTTTGCGTCATCGGACATTCTGATTCCAATTCAGCTACCTTCATGTTGCTTTAGCTGTGCTTCACGCATTTCACTCCTCTAAGACCATCCAGCATCTATTAACAGTCCCTGATTTCCATATATTCAAAGCCCCTTCGTCTGAAGAGAACACGCACATACAGCTCTGCAGCTCACATAGAAGAGCGCTCCGATGTAGAGACCTTTTCTACAGGGCATTCTCAGGATGCAGTTTTCAAATGTACTAAGTGATAGTTGACAAATCAGTTTTTCCCCCCCAAACTGAAGTCCAATCAACCAGTGCCAACCATTTTCGATGTTAAGATTCAAATGTAAGCTGTTGTGATGAGAAAAAAAAGTGATATTGTTATTTGTACAGAAGTGATTTCATTTAATTTGACAAAGTGCAGGAAGTGCAGCTGTACTGGTTTGGATGCAGGCAGAGGATGAAGGAAGGGCACCTGGTGAAAGCAGCAGAGCAGAAGAGGGTGATAGGAAAGAGATGCTGAGGATGCAATGGATGGATTGCAGCAAAGAAGATGGTAAGCAAGTGGACCTCAGCGCTGCCTTGGACAAAGACGGTGGATGCTTGCATGACAATCCAACCCAAGTTGATGGGATAAGGGTGATTTCATTTATTCACAAAAATGAAAGGAGGACTTGTGGCACCTTAGAGACTAACCCATTTATTTGAGCATAAGTTTTCGTGAGCTACAGCTCACTTCATCGGGAATGCATCCGATGAAGAGAGCTGTAGCTCACGAAAACTTATGCTCAAATAAATGGGTTAGTCTCTAAGGTGCCACAAGTCCTCCTTTTCTTTTTGCAAATACAGACTCACAGGAGTGCTCTGAAACCTTTCATTTATTCAGAGGTTTCCCCCACAAATCCGAAGTTGGCTGAATGATTTTCCCCCACTTACTTCCTGACCTTTGTTTGAAGTATGGTGCCTGTTGCTGAAAGCCCACTGAAATCAAGGGAGTCTTTCCCCTGAGTTCAATCAATGGGAAGAAAGTTACGAAAGACGGAAGACAGGGAGTTGTAAGTAGAAACCATTAGGCAAGCTGGGCTATTAGGACCTATGAGGAAGAGAGCCCGACCCCAGTCACCCTGTAATGCATTTTAAGCCCATCGAGCCCTACACAATGTCAGTATGAGGCACATCCCCGAAAATAAAAACCAGAAGGGGCGAGGGGGCGGGGGTCACCCACTGAGGTTTTGGCCTGAGGGGCTGCTCTGCATCCGAACGGTGCCGAGGGCCAAGTCCCCCAGGCAGCGTCAACAGCCATTTATAATCAGCACCGACCCCCAGCACAGCACCCCGCCTCCACGTGTGCCAGATGCCCCCCCAAAGCCCTCAAGCCCCCCCCCACAGAAACCCTGCATATAAACCGCGATGTGCCCACACCAGCCTCCCCTCCACCCCCACCCCAGCTAAAGACACGTGCCCATGGACCATGCAGCGCTGCCCTGCCCCCACGCCGGGCCCCACGTGTCCCGGCTGATGTAACCGGGCCGGCCCCACGCCGGTACCTGGTACTCCATCCTGGGCACGCGGGCCGGCCGGGTGCTGAAGCAGCGCGCGCCGCCGGCCGCCACCAGCCGCAGCGCGGAGTGCAGCGCGCGGAGCCCGCGAAAGCCCATCCCGCCTCCCGCTGACAGGCGGCCGCCGCCGCCACCGACGGGCGCAGCTCCCCACCCCTCCCACTTCCCTGGGGGGTGCGCCCGCCCCGCGAGCCACCGCCAGCGCGCAGGCGCGGCAGCGTGAGCCCCGCCATCTTTGTGAGGGGCACTACAGGGCGGGAGAGAGCCCGGGCAGGGCGACGGCCGCCATCATTGTGAGGGGCACCGCATTCTCTTAAAGGGCAACGCGGTCTCCCATTTACTCATTAGGGCTACCATGTCCCCTACAGCAAAGGGGAGGGGGGGGGACACAATGCTGATCTCATAGCGATGCAGCAGCCTCCCCCCCCACACACACAGCACTTTCCCAAGTGCTACACACAGTGATCAATTCCCTCCCACCCCCACCCCCCAATAGCCGCATTAGAGAAGACAGGTCAGGTCCCGCCTTGGAGAGGCCCCATGTCCCCATAGTGTCTACAGGGGAACATCCCCAGATAAAACCATGTTTGCACATTCGCTGCTTAGTATCTAAAGCCTTCCAGGGCACATGGCAAGGAAAACCCGCCACTACACAGGGGGCACTCTGCGCGTTGCGGCTTTCAAGGTCAGCCGGCACAGAGGGGCAGCGCAAAGTCCAAGTAATCCTGCTAGTTCAATAAAGCGGTTTTTATTACAAAATGGAATGTTATGGCGGTGCCTATCTATGAAAAACACAACACACCCCTCTGAAGGAAACGACCAACTACAGCCAGGGTATTTCAGGGGCCTAACCCACCCCCACAAAAATACACAGCAGATGCTCCACTTTTCATGCACTGTTTTCTCCTCATGTTGCAAATACATGGGCAAGCTGTCATTCCATCCCGTTTAACTAGACACATGCGGAGGTCTTTTAAAAAAGGATTTTGGCAAGGACCGAAACGATAATTTAATAGCAAGCTTTAAACACACCCCAAGCCAGATACGCCATAGTTGGCACATTCCAACGAAAACCTCCATTAAAACCTCCATTAACCAACAGCTGGAGGTGCAGCCAGCTCTACCTCCCGCTCACCATTCCCAACTCTTAACTGCATTTATAGCTTTAGCAGTGAAGTTAGTAACCCAGCCCCGAATTTAAAACAAAATTAAATTACCATCTCAATTCTTCGAGTGTAGGGGCAGCTCCACCACATTCAGCCAGTCTCTCTCCTACAGTTTGCAGGGCTGTTGCTAAGTGTGGAGATTCAGCCAGAGATTACAACTGTAGCAAAGACCAGTTTTTAGTATAGGAGCCATTTGTTCCCGTTCAGGATTATCATCTACTGCCTGTATCGTGGTAGCACCTAGGACCCCCACGTCACGGAGCAGGGTCCCACTGTGCTAGGCACTGTTCAAACACATAACAAAGACAGTCCCCCTGCCCCAAAGTGCCTCAGTGGAAAAAATGCAGGGAACGAGTAGGAATCATTACTCTAACGTGGCCATCTTCTAAGATTCCAACACTGCTCTGGAGAGAAAGGATTCAGCAGTTCAGCCAGATTTTGTTCTTGCTCAGGTCTTGATGCAGGAGCTAACTTGTTAACACTGTTCAGCATTACAGCTGACAGCTCCATCCTAGCCGCTAAGGGGGACATCACCAACTGAATTACAGGTATGTGAACCGTTACCTACTTGCTCATAGAGCACATTGAAGAGCTGCAGCTCCATTTTCCCTATTTTTGAAAAAATTCACACAGGGGAGAGAAATCATTTAAAAACAGAACATATGATTGTTTCTTCACAACAACTGGCATAGGGCACCAGGCCAATGTATCACCTGCAGCTAATTTAATTCATGGCCCTTTAGCACCAAAAGCTTCCCACAACTCCCCATTGTTTCCGAACCCCATCCCAGAGAAGAGATTTACCTTATACATGTCCTTTATCATCCTTACTTTCTGCTCTGAAGCAAGTTTGATCTCTGCTGCCTGCTGTTTACAGACCTCACACTGGCTGCTGGCGGGTGTTGCTACTAGCCTAGTTGAAGGACAAAGGTTATCACCAGCTGCATTCTGCACACATTTCTCTCATTTCAAAGGCTCAGGGTTTACTCTGGTTTGCCAGCACCACTGCTGCACCCTCTCAAACAAATTCACAAGAGCTGCTGCAGCCCAAGGAAAGAGAGAATTTCCTTTCCGCACAGGAATCCATTAAGATCTCCATAGAGAGTTTCTATTAGGTGCATATCAGGTTTAATAAGCTCTGTTGGCAGGAAAAGGTATTTACGGGATACACGTTGCCGAAGTTAAGTGCATTGAATGTGCAGTGCATTTGCTCTGTTCACTTGGAGAGTTACTGCTCTTAATCTAGACCCATGTAAGCAAAGCCAGATAAAGCGACAGACACAGGAATGCTTGTAAGAATATAGCCAGGTGTCTAGCTGGGCCAGGTTTCGCAGTAGTAATAGCTCATTGGGCATTGCTGCTCTGTCACTATGGTCAGCACCCTGGGGAGTTGGACAGACCCCTGCCATCCTCCAGTCACATCCACCTTCAGACTACGAGCAGAATGTGTCCAGCTCCCTTCACGTCTGAACTGGTGCTGTTGCCGCACTGGTTAGTGAGTCAGTCAGAGGAATACACAGCAGACCAGGGGTCTAAGAAAGGGAATTTTAATTGCAGTTTACAACCAAAAGTGGCAGTAGGCTGAACACAAAGCATGATGAACTTGTGTTGAAAGCAACGACTCAGACGGATCCTCCTGGTCAGAGCAACAGTAATGAGCACCCCTGCTTCCTCCTGATTAGTCGCTGCGACCCTTTGTTTCTCATAGGCTCTGACCCTGTCTGAACCAGAAGGACTTGCTAGTCTTGAACATGGTGTGAGCTAGTTCTTGAATTTGGAGGCGTTTTGTCTGTACCAATCCCACTGGCTCCACACAAGGAAGACACGCACAAAGAGCTCAGTGGCACTCAGCAATGCGACCCCCACCCTACACACAACAAGGGAAGCTCCCTGCAGAAGGAAGGACCACATGGGGAACTGTAGCCACACATGAGCAATTCAGAAGAGATCTGAGGCAGTTCCCAAAGTGAGCCGATCTATCCTGCCAGCTGCAGCAGCAGTTCAATTACTGAGTCACCCAGTCATGTTCTCCAGTGCTGTAAAGCTTGGGCAGTGACAAAATCTTCTCCAACAGTGGCTCCCCAACAGAAATGACCCATTAGATCCAGCTACTGGTAAAGAGATGCTATTTCTGGGGGCTGAGGCAGAAACTCTGGACCAGATAGGCTGAGAGATGATCCCAGGCCCTTGGAAACAGCTCCCAAGGACATCTAGGGACAGCCCCCTTCCTTTATGCCCACAATTGTTCCAGACAGTTCGTCCAGCCCAATATCTCAGACCAGGCCCTGCAGCTCCTTTCCATCAGAGCTGCTGCTACAAGAGACTGAAGAACGTAAGGGTATTTCAAAGAAAACTCAGCCTGCTCCCTACTCACTTTTCCGGGCCCCCACCAGTCAAAACACTCTGTCAAACTCTGTCTGATTGGTTGCAGCTGGATTCCTGCCCTGATTAGCTGGCTGCTGCGGCATGTGTCCACCTCTTCTCCTGGGTGGAGCCAGGTACTCAAACATTGATTGATTGTGGGTGGAGAGCATGTTCTTGAGATCAGAGGGCATCGGGTCCGACCAGAAGAAGTCATGATTCAATGCATCGTCACTGTCTATTCTTTGGGCAGGATCCAGAACGAGCAGTTTGTCTATAAGATCCAGAGCGTATGGGTCTTTGACATAGGCTTTCAGGCGATCTTTAACCTTGCGCTTTTGGCCCTTGGGCAGGTCCAGTTTCTGGTACAGCTCATACTTATCCACATTTAGCCAAACCTAGAGGGAGCATAAGGGAGATCAGCCTTAGAGAGAAGACAGCTAAACCGTTTTAGAGCCTGATGTTAGTGCCCTAATTAAACCCCACATGCATTCAGCTGTAGTGGAGAAACAAACAAACCAGTTCTTTCACTACACACCCTCTAGGGCCCCATGACATCCATTAGGAATTTTACTGTTGCAGTCGAAAGCGGAATGCATACAATTGCTACAGAGATGAGCAGCAGTACAAACCCGTAAGGCAGATACTGCACTTGGAGATACACGGGGGGGGGGGGGGGGGGGGGGGGGGGGGAGAAGAATCAGTGGGAAAAATCTAGCAGTGTACGTTTAAGCTGCTCTTTGATACTCTAATTCTCTTAGACATCAGACAGCAGCTGCACAGTAACATGGGCTAGACAATTATGAGAATACACAAAAGAAAAAGCCAACCGAGTAACTTAAATTTATACAGCACCTTTCATCCCAGCAGAGCCCAGAGCCCTTTGCAAATGCACCCCCTCCCCAACAGTCCAGGTCTGCGTGGAACGTGGCAAGCTTTTGTTTATTTTAAAGGGGTAATACATTCATCTATACCAGTGAAGGTTACAGCCTGACAGACCTGGAGATCAGCCTCCTATTTATCCATAGCACAGGTATAATCAGGCAGCAGCAGCGTAAGTCTATCTATCATGCCCCACTGTGCCACAATCCTGACTTGAAGGGACCATCGCTAGGGGTTCAGACGCAATGACTAATTCAAGACATTTGCCTCTCTCCTGAAAAAACTAGAGCCAAAAACGGTGGTTGTCTGAGAAAGAATGGTCAACTAGCAACTAGGCTGGCACCAAATTCATTTCACACAGACCTCTCAATAGCCGCAAGATGGTGGCAAGTTTACCAATGGGTTTGGTGCCACGTATCAGACAGATTCAGACCCACAACCTAGAAATGAAAAGCACCCCCCCCCCTCGCTGTAATAGTAAGTAATAGCCTATTACCAACTCTCTAATGTGATAGCGGTTGAGGATTATCTTGTGGCTAAAGCGCAGGACTGGAAGCTGAGAGACCTGGGTTCAATTCTCAGTTCTCTCACTGACTTGTTGAGAAACTCTGAGCAAATAACTTCAGCTCCGTGCCTCAATTTCCCCAGCTGTAAAATGGGGGTGTGACGTGTCATTCCATATTCTTTAGGAAAATGCTTGATATGAATATGACATAACTGAGATATACTTTACGCAAGATGGCTCATGTGATACCATTGGAAAGGTTATGATTTACTGAAAGTGGTTATCCAATTTGTATGCATGTGTCATTTCTGTATCTGAAATTAGGAATAGTGACTATGTATCTGTATTTCAACTGTTACTTTGGGTGATGCCCACTGCTAACACTTCAGGTACAACAGGCCCATCAGCAAGAGACAATGGACTGTAAAAGAGCTTAGTCTTCCCGTGAGTCAGCCTCTGAAGAATGGCTACAGGGGCCCTACAGGGTCAGGTGGTCTTGTCACCTGATACTAAAACATTACCTGGGACTTCTTGTAACTTTCCACTGTAAGGGAAGAGGGGTCAAACTAGGAAACAAAGGATTCCCACCTTATGTAAATCCTATTTAATGGTGGGGAGTGAGGTACTCCAGGTCATCAGTTCTCCCCTGCTACCCCACCCAAGATGACTGCTAGAAACAACTAAGACTGAACTGGGGGGAAAAGAACTGGACCCAGGCTGGAAGGGTGTCTGGTCTGTGAAGAAGATTATTAGAACCACATTTAGGGTGAGAACTTACATGTACCCAGTTTCTTTAGTGCATTAAGCTTAATTTGCACGCTGTTTTATTTTCTTAGTAATCTGTCTTGTTCTGTCTGCTACCTCCTTAGCTACTTAAAATACACCTGTTACAGTTAATACCTTTATTTCTGGTTTATAATACAACCCAGTTGATGTGATTTCTAACTGGGGGGCAAGAAGTTGTGCATACCCTCCTCCACCTTGAGGGAAGAGGCAAATTTCATGTAATTTTGGGTCTGTACTCCAAGGGGGGGGGGGGGGGTGGACGACGTCAGGATGCTGTGGCAAGCCCCTTAAGCTGAGCCTTCTCAGAGCAGATCTCTGTCTCTCTGCGCAGCTGGGTGCGGCCCTGCCTGTGCGCTTGGCTGAAAAAGGCTGGGGAGCCCAGCCCAGTAAGACCAGGTAAAAGGGCGCCAAGGCTGGCAGAATACTCTGACTCAGAGGCATCCCAGCACCCCAAGTGACATCCCGGGGGTCCATCCCATCCCAGGGGGTGATACTCACCTCACATGGGGAGAGGCTAAATTCACTGTTTATCTTTGGTAGAGGTGCTAGAACAGGGCAGTGTATCATTCTGGATACAGTAAACATGTTTGATCTCTTCATGGAGCAACGCAGCCCTTGAGCACAGCTCTCACCACTCTTGAGATGTAAGGATGCCCCCTTTAAATGCAGCCGATAGATCTATTACTTGCTTAAGGTCACCCAGCAGGTCAGTCTCAGAGGCAGGATTAGATTGCAGGGTTCCAGGTTTCTAAACCCATGCCCATTCAGTTTCATTGCAGTTTCCCCACAGGTGCTGCATTCCCGTGCTTTGGGGTCCCTACCTCTGGAGTAATGGATCCACAGAGCTGGCTGATGAGAGTGAGCTGGTGTTGTTCCGTGTTCCCCTGCATGATGGGGCTGCGAGTCCACATCTCTGCCATGATGCAGCCTGCACCCCAGAGATCAATGGGGGGGCCATAGTCCCGTTCCCCTAAAGACAGCAGCACTAGATTAACCACTTAGACTCTAATATTAAAAGCTTTGCATGCACCAGACTGAGAGAACAAAATAGTAAAGGGGACAGGGGAAAGAGAAAACAAACAAAAGATGGGTTTCAGAGTAGCAGCCATGTTAGTCTATATTCGCAAAAAGAAAAGGAGGACTTGTGGCACCTTAGAGACTAACAAATTTAAGCTTTCGTGAGCTACAGCTCACTTCATCGGGAATGCATCCGATGAAGTGAGCTGTAGCTCACGAAAGCTTATGCTCAAATAAATTTGTTCGTCTTAAGGTGCCACAAGTCCTCCTTTTCTTCAAACAGAAGATGGGAGAATTCCCTGTGCAATTTCTCCTCTAGCCAAGCCTCCCACCTACCTAAGAGAAGCTCCGGAGGCCGATACCACAGAGTCACCACCCGGTTGGTGTAGCGGTTGGGCTGACTGTTTTTTGCCAGGCTGAAGGCTCGAGCCAAACCAAAGTCTGCCAGTTTCAGGACCCCATCTCGGGTGATCAGTACATTTGCAGCTTTCATATCCCGGTGCAAGATCTGCACAAAGGAGGGAAATTGAAAGGTTAAGCCATTAAGTCATCTTCCGCTGGATCCAGCTCTATCTTCATCACAAAGATCCCCACCACCAGGAAGGTGAATGGGGCATTCCGACCCTGGAAAAGAAACACTGGAAAGGCTAGGATTGAACATGGATGAACACAACAGAAAATAAACCCATTGGGAGCATCTCACTGAGCATGGAGTTGGCTGGAGGGGAAAGTTACAGCTGAGGATCTAGAACTGGTGAGAGGTACTGCAACCATAACCCTTCGGTCTCCCACAGGACAGACAGAGCACAGGCGGTAGTATGACAAGCATCCCTACAGCAGCTAATGTGCCTCACCCCTGCCCTGGGAGAGCCAGGGTGAGTGCAGATGACATGGCCCAGTCAGTCCTGGCCCTCATGTTAGCAATCACAGCACAACTATGCATTAGCTCCTGAACTTAGAACACAGGTCACGCTTAAATTTGGTTTTCAGGTGTATCACTTCTTTGGATGCTCTATTCTGCAGTGTTACAAACACCATGGTGGGTTGGGAGGACTTCATAAGGATCCTCCAGAGCATCCTTCTCCCCCTTTGAAAATACATTCTAAGTTTTTACTTGGCCATCACTGGCTCTGCTAACACTTCCCACTCCCCCGGCCTATAAAAAAGCCTCCCAGCATCAAACCCTGAGACTGAGAATAATCGTTACTGATTCCGTGCTAAGCCACCCTGAAAAGCACACACATCCCAGAGTGTGAGTGTGCAGAACTAGCAGCCCCGCTAGAGACACTGGCCTGTGCTCACATGCCTGTATCTCAGAAGGGCACACACAAGGCCACTGCAATCTCAGCCCTCAAGCCATGCAGCAAGGGAATACAGATCCCGCCCTTTACCTTATTCCTGTGGATGTAGTAAAGTCCATTCAGCAACATCTGCATCACTTTCTTGATCTCAGACAGCGTGAACTTCACATGGGCGTTGCTGAGGAGGCCTGCGAGATCGTGCTCACAGAAATCGAACACCAGATAGATGCTGCCCTTGCAGCGATTGTATGGGGAGGCTACGAGAGAAGCGATGTGTGGTTGTTAAGGAGGTCTATCAACCCAAACAGTTCTCTCCCCCACACTGATGGCTAGCTTTCCCTGTGTCAACTTCTAGCACCGGATGCTGACCAGCCTTTGCCACATGACTAAGAAATAGAAAACATGACATAACTCTATGTTAAGGTCACAATCGAGCGTCAGGGTGAACACACAACTTCCACCTCGCCTGCCCCCTTTCACCGCGTACCCCCAGAGTCTTCAATTACACAGCCATAGCTATACAGAGAAATGGGGACATCCCTGGCCACCAAGAACCTCAGCATCTAGATACCCATAAGGCTATCCAAAGGAGAAATAGGGAGAATGGAGGAGGAGGGTTACAGCAGTGACGATCATCACGGCATGTGTACATTACATACGGCACATTTCAGAGTGGTGAGCTCCTAGGGTGACCTGTCTTCTGAGAGGGAAAGTTTAACCTAGCAAAGTGAAGACTGAGAGGGAATGACTGCTCTCTAGAAATACACCAAGGAGGAAGAAGAGCTACTGAAGTTAAAGGACAATGTTGTACAAAAACAAATGGAAATAAACTGGCCACAAGTAAACTTGGTCTGGAGATTAGAAGGTCTATAACCATCAGAGGAATGAGGTTCTGGAACAGCCTCTCAACAATAGTAGTGAGGGCAAGACACCCATCTGGCTTTAAGATGGAGCTTGATAAGTTTACAAGTAAGATTATGAGACAGGGCTGCCTGCTCATAGCAGAGGACTGTACTTGATGACCCAGAAAGACCCTTCCAGTCACATTCTTATGTTTTTTAAGATTTAGTATACTGGGGGGAGGTGGGGGATCCAAAATGAAGCCCAGGAGGATGAACAACCGAAGACTGAGCAAAACCAAGGAATCTTCTATTTCTCAAATGCTGTAATACACAACAGAAGGTTTTATGCAGCCTCAGATTATATTATTTGCTTCCAGGAGCGCAGATGTTAGCACTATATAAACACAAAGGAGGCACACTCACTGCCCCAAAGAAACAAAACTTGCAATGCAGTGGGAGGACAACCAGGCATTCAAGTGACTGCACCATGGAACCAGAAAGCCTTTGAATCCATTGACCAAAGTGCTTACAGTTACCAGCCACAGTAGGGGAGCTCTGAGCAAATCAGCTACAGAGCATGTCATGAATACAAAGTTTATAAAAAGAGCCAGCCTGTGTTAAACAATGTTTTTAAACAAGAAGAGGGAGCGCTCCTGCTATTAATGGGATATTAGCACCATTGGGGTTTTTGGTTTGTTCGTTTTTTTAAAGAAAGGACAAATGTAAAAAACCAACCACTTTCAGGATGAGAAACTTGTACGTCAAGTTTCTCTCCAGTGTTTTTTTGTTGTTGTTAAAAAACCCCAGAAACATGAGTTTTATAATCTCACACACACGCCTTCAACTGTAGCAACACAGTATTTCGAAGAAGCTTACAAAGGCATCTTCTAGTCGAGCTGTGACACAGTCAGAGCTATGCTAACTGAGGTGTTAACGCTCATAACACACTACCACCATGTAGCTCTTTTCACCCAAAGACCTCAAAGCACTTCACAAAGCAGGTCAGTATCATTTATCCCAGTTTTACAGATGGGAAAACTGAGGCACAGGGAGGGGCAGTGACCTGCCCAAGGGCATTCAGCAGGCCACTGTTATCCAAAGGAGACAGGTATCCAACAAAATCTTTGGACAAACCAGGCTATTTTGTATTGGGCAAGTGCATCTCACTGAAAGAAAAAAAAAGGGTACACTGGAGATCAACTGATGTTAGTGAACAAAACAAAAAGAGGGAACTAAAACATGCTACCTTTGGTCCTGCAGATTTCTATGAGGTTCACCACATTCTCATGCTTGAGCAGCTGAAGGATTTTGATCTCACGTAGGGCTGTGATGGGGAACTAACAAGGAGATAGAGAGCCACAAGTCAGAATTGCAAGAGAATATCCCAATCTAGTCTAAAGCAGGTTGCGGGTAAGGCGGGGGAGCAGTGGAGGAGGGAAGAGAGAAAATTATGGCAGAAATCTCGAAGAGGAGATGTATTCAAGCAGACTTAAAAGTGCAGGACAAAGTGCAGCTAGGGTCAGAACAGAGGCTAAAACCAACATTGTGGAGTTCCAGTTTTATTCACTGTGACTTCCAGTTCCAGTCTGCTCAGTTTACAACTCTTAGCACCTAGTAACTTAAGTAGAAGTTGAGTGTCCTGAACCCCACACAGGATCAGGCCCTTAGGGTGTAGCACCAACTACTAAAAAAACCCAAGTGAGATGTGGAAGAGAATCCAGTCTGGTTTTGCTTCTTATGAGGTCACCAGCAATACAGATGTTTGTCATCGGAATATGGACACATTTTGTTCATGTGTGATCCTGATTAGAATTCAGCTCCCCATCTCTTCAGTGTATCAACACTACCATGTTAACAGAAGTAAAACCTTATTTGAATCAACAGAGATGTGACTCAGACACACAAAAAGGCAATATGGAAAGAGGTTTTTTAACCAAATCACTTTCCTGATACATAGGGAAGCACACCACTTTCAGTCTTGTATATTACTTTATCCATTTCCATACTGGTTTTTACTGCAGAAGGTCCTGCAAAGTTACACACACAATGAATTTCCTTGTCACATCCCAGACAAAGATTCTGTCTTTGTCTACTAAAGACATATGCCCAGCTCTCAAACTCCCATCCTCCCACACCATACACAATATAGGCCCATGCCCATCTATCTTACCCCCTCCTTCTCATTTTCCATCAACACTTTCTTCAGAGCCACCTTCTTGCCAGTCTGTCGATGTTTTGCTTTGAACACTTCCCTGCAGAGAGGACGGAAATACATGAGCATTCCCGGAGGAGTTGAAGTGGCCAAGTAGAGCAGGCACAGCCAGGCAAGACCAAACAAGACATTTCTACACTTTCACACAGGCAGCTCTGTGCGGACCCTCTGCCTAACCCAGGTCCTCCCCCTTCATGCCAAGAAAGGCCACGATCTCCTGCAGAGAGCAGGCTCTCAGATTCCAGGGTATGTGAGAGAATGGCAATGGGGTAGGGCTCTCACAGATCCCCAGGAGAGTTTTGGAGGCAGGCCTCACAGATTCCAAGAGGTGGCGGGAAGGGTACAGGAGGAATCTCAGATGTGGAGGCATTCAGGAAAGAGTCTCTCTCAGATCCCAGGGCACTAGGGGGGGGAGGGGGAGGGCGGGGAGAGGAGGAGGGGGAAGTCTCTCACAGGTGGGGGGGGGGGGAGGGAGAGAAGAGGGGGAGAGAGGGAGTCTCTCACAGGTCCCGGGGCACCGGGGGAGAGGGGGAGAGAGGGAGTCTCTCACATGTCCCGGGGCACCGGGGGGAGGGGGGGAGAGAGGGAGTCTCTCACAGGTCCCGGGGCACCGGGGAGGGGGGGGAGAGAGGGAGTCTCTCACAGGTCCCGGGGCACCGGGGGAGGGGGGGAGGGGAGCCCCGGTCCGGGGGGGGGGGGGGAGGGAGCCCCGTCCCGGGGGGGGGGGGGGGGGCCCCGTCCCGGGGGGGGGGGGGGGGGGCCGCCGGCGGGGGGGGGGGGGGGAGCCCACGTCCCGGGCACGGGGGGGGGGGGAGGGCCCACAGTCCCCAGGGGGGGGGGGGGGGGCCCCGGCCCGGGGGGGGGGGGGGGGCCCCGGCCCGGGGGGGGGGGGGGGGCGGCCCGGGGGGGGGGGGGGGGGCCCCGGGGGGGGGGGGGGGGCGCGGGGGGGGGGGGGGGGCCCGCCCGGGGGGGGGGGGGGGGGGGCCGGCCCGGGGGGGGGGGGGGGGGCCCACCCCAGGGGGGGGGGGGGGGGAGCCCCCCCAGGGGGGGGGGGGGGGGGAGCCGCCCCACCGGGGGGGGGGAGAGGGAGTCCCACAGGCCCGGGCACGGGGGGGGGGAGAGAGGGAGTCTCACAGGTCCCGGGCACCGGGGGGGGGGAGAGAGGGAGTCTCTCACAGGTCCCGGGCACCGGGGGGGGGGGAGAGAGGGAGTCTCCACAGGCCGGGGCACCGGGGGGGGGGGGAGAGGGAGCCCCGCCCGGGGGGGGGGGGGGAGGGGAGCGGTCCCGGGGGGGGGGGGAGAGAGGGGCCCGGTCCCGGGGGGGGGGGGGGAGGGAGCCCCGCCGGGCACCGGGGGGGGGGAGGGGGAGCCCCGGTCCCGGGGCACGGGGGGGGGGGGGGGGGGAGCCCCGCCCGGGGCCCGGGGGGGAGAGGGAGCCCACGGTCCGGCACGGGGGGGGGGGGGGAGGGGAGTCCTCACCCCGGGCACGGGGGGGGGGGGAGAGAGGGAGTCCTCCGCCCGCACCGGGGGGGGGGGGGGGGGAGCCCCAGCCACGGGGGGGGGGGGGGAGCCACAGGCCCCCGGGGGGGGGGGGAGAGAGGGAGTCCTCCGGTCCCGGGGCACGGGGGAGGGGGGGGAGGGGAGTCCCCAGGTCCCGGGGCACCGGGGGAGGGGGGAGAGGGGGGTCGGGGGGGGGGGGGGGGGGTCCGTCGGGGGGGGGGGGAGGGGTCTCAGGGGGGAGGGGGGGGAGGGAGTCCAAGGTCCGGGAGGGGGGGGGGGAGAGAGGGAGCACAGGCCGGGAGGGGGGGGGGGGAGAGGGAGTCAAGTCCGGGGGGTTGGGGGGGGGGGGGGGAGTCTCAGGTCCCGGGGCCGGGGGGGGGGGGAGAGGGAGTCTCTCACAGGTCCCGGGGCACCGGGGGGAGGGGGAGAGAGGGAGTCTCTCACAGGTCCCGGGGCACCGGGGGGAGGGGGGGGGAGAGAGGGAGTCTCTCACAGGTCCCGGGGCACCGGGGGGGGGGGGAGAGGGAGTCTCTCACAGGTCCCGGGGCACCGGGGGGAGGGGGAGAGAGGGAGTCTCTCACAGGTCCCGGGGCACCGGGGGAGGGGGGAGAGAGGGAGTCTCTCACAGGTCCCGGGGCACCGGGGGGGGGGGGGGGAGAGAGGGAGTCTCTCACAGGTCCCGGGGCACCGGGGGGGGGGGGAGAGAGGGAGTCTCTCACAGGTCCCGGGGCACCGGGGGGGGGGGAGAGGGAGTCTCTCACAGGTCCCGGGGCACCGGGGGGGGGGAGAGAGGGAGTCTCTCACAGGTCCCGGGGCACCGGGGGGGGGGGAGAGAGGGAGTCTCTCACAGGTCCCGGGGCACCGGGGGAGGGGGGGAGAGAGGGAGTCTCTCACAGGTCCCGGGGCACCGGGGGGAGGGGGGGGGAGAGAGGGAGTCTCTCACAGGTCCCGGGGCACCGGGGGGGGGGGGGAGAGAGGGAGTCTCTCACAGGTCCCGGGGCACCGGGGGGGGGGGGAGAGAGGGAGTCTCTCACAGGTCCCGGGGGGGGGGGGGGAGAGAGGGAGTCTCTCACAGGTCCCGGGGCACCGGGGGGGGGGGAGAGAGGGAGTCTCTCACAGGTCCCGGGGCACCGGGGGGGGGGGAGAGAGGGAGTCTCTCACAGGTCCCGGGGCACCGGGGGGAGTATCTGTGTCTCTCTCTCTCAGATCCCGGGTAGCAGGAAGGAGGGTATCCGGGGCGCTGGGGGGCTCGGCCCGCAGACCCCAGGGTAGGCGGGGGGGTGGCTGGGCCCCTCTAACCCCGTGCGGGGGCAGACCCGGGAGGCTGGGGAGGGTCCGGCTCTCACCCGAACGTGCCCTGCCCAATCTTCGCCAGCTTCTCGTACTTGGACACCTCGTCGCAGAAGGGACAGTCCACCGTGTCGTACTGCTTCGCCATGGCGGGGCCCCCGAGCCCAACGGCGCCAAACGGCCACCGTCCCCGCCCTCGCGGCTCCTCTGTCGCCCCCAGCGACGGCGCGTTTGGTGACGCGAGATCCCGGGAGCTTCCGGTCTCGCCAGCCATGCCCCGCCCCTTCCTGCGCCGCGGTGGCGCCTGGGAGTTGCAGTTCTGGAACGGCGGGGAAAAGTCACGTTTGAGTTCGGAGGCCCCGCGCCTCTTCTCCGGGGGCCGCCCCGCCAAGGGTCCCCCAGGTCTTCCCCAGCGGGGAGCCCCGTGCAGTGCCTGTGGACCCAGTGCGCCCACCCTGCTCTTCCTCCCCATGTCACGCAGATGAGAGATGATGTCATCACCCTGCATCTCTGCTCCATGCCCTGTGTCACCCAGCTGAGAGATGATGTCATCACCCTGCATCACTGCTCCATGCCCGGTGTCACCCAGCTGAGAGATGACATCATCACATTGCATCACTGCTCCATGTCATAGAATCATAGAATCATAGAATATAAGGGTTGGAAGGGACCCCAGAAGGTCATCTAGTCCAACCCCCTGCTCAAAGCAGGACCAATTCCCAGTTAAATCATCCCAGCCAGGGCTTTGTCAAGCCTGACCTTAAAAACCTCTAAGGAAGGAGATTCTACCACCTCCCTAGGTAACGCATTCCAGTGTTTCACCACCCTCATAGTGAAAAAGTTTTTCCTAATATCCAATCTAAACCTCCCCCACTGTAACTTGAGACCATTACTCCTCGTTCTGTCATCTGATACCACTGAGAACAGTCTAGAGCCATCCTCTTTGGAACCCCCTTTCAGGTAGTTGAAAACAGCTATCAAATCCCCCCTCATTCTTCTCTTCTGCAGGCTAAACAATCCCAGCTCCCTCAGCCTCTCCTCATAACTCATATGTTCCAGACCCCTAATCATGTCACCCAGCTGAGAGATGACATCATCACACTGCATCCCCTCTCCATGCCCAGTGTCAGCCAGCTGAGAGATGACATCATCACACTGCATCACTGCTCCATGTCACCCAGCTGAGAGATGACATCATCACACTGCATCCCCTCTCCATGCCCAGTGTCAGCCAGCTGAGAGATGACATCATCACACTGCATCACTGCACCATGCCCTGTCACCCAGCTGAGACATTGCATCATTGCATGGCATCCCTGCATTATCACACTTGGCTCGTGTCAACCCACTGTAACATTACAGCATCAGGCAGCATCAGTACAGTACTGTCTTGTCATAGCCCTCTGTCATCATATCCCCTCTGAATTTTCTTCTATGGCACCTCTGTGACATCACATTGCTTCTTGACATGCTGGTACCACATCACGTCAAAATATGCACATATCACGTATGTCATTCCTCAGTCTGTGTCTTCAGGTCATCTCTGTGTGTCCTTACACCACCTCAGCTTCATCTCCCCATGTGTCTACATTGGCCAAGTGCTTAAAACAAACTCCCATCTACCTCTAGAGCGTTGTGGAGTATTTCTACATCAACCTAGCACAGTTATTCTCAAACTTTTGTACTGGTGACCCCTTTCACATAGCAAACCTCTGAGTGCGACCCCCCCTTATAAATTAAAAACACTTTTAAATATATTTAACACCATTAGAAATGGTGGATGCAAAGCAGGGTCTCGGGTGGGGGCTGACAGCTTGCGACCGCCCATGTAATAACCTCACGACCCCCTGTCTTTCATTCCCCCACCCCCTACACACACTCTCTCTTCATGCATATGAATCAGATGCACATTGTCTATCTTCTCAGCACCTTTCCATCACTGGGGCTTTATCCCCCCACCCCAACCCACACTTCCTATCATATCTGCCTGATGCAACAATTATTCACAATTCAGCAGCATTCTCAGATGCAGTTGTCTGCAGATGCATATGAGTGCAGAATGCCAGCAGGGGGGGCTTTGAGACAAGCTGACGGTATTAGTAGCCAGGCAGAGGCAGAGAGGGAGAGATTTAGCACTCTCAGGAGTCCTGAGATAAAGTCAAGCCAAGATTTCAGGCAATAGAAATGGGCCTGCTGAGAGAGCAGAGACATCTGATAGTACAGTGGGGCGCCACTAATCCCGTCGTTGGGAAAGGAGAGAGACTAGATCATTGGAGTAGTTAGGACGGGCAATTGGGAGGCAGGCCTGACTTTGCCACTGTCTGCTGGTGTGGCCTTAGGTAAGTCATTTATCCTCTCAGAGCCTCAGCTGTATGATTAAGATTAAAAGGGGAGCCTAGAGAACCAGTGTCAAAAGCCGGTCCCACTGACAGTGATACACAGTATTCACTTACAGGCTGGGATGCAGGAGAACCAGCAACAAGGGACGATTTGCATGGCCCCTGAGAGAGAGCAAAACACACCAATCAGTTTTCACAGAATGTTTGCATTTTGCCCTGACTGACATGCTGTGGCGTCCTGGCTACTCTTTGAGCCCTCGCATACTGCATCCAACACATCCCCTAGCTGCTGTCTGATCCCTTAGACACTGGGCCCCATATCTGTTCTCTGATCCATTGGAGGCTGGGTCAAATGCATTCCTGCGTACATCTGGGGCCAGGTCCTCAGTGGGTATAAAGTGGCATTGCTCTGTTGACTTCATGGACCTTTGTCAGTTACACCATCTGAAGATCTGTCCCTGACAGTTTTGACGGCTTTGTGTTTCGGTAACAGTAGGCTAGGTCGCTCACAGATGGGGCAGCGTGCTCATTTCCTGCCCTCTAGGGGTGGCATGAGCTGAAGGGGAAACAATTTTAGTCCCTATTCAGGGCAATACAAAGGGTATCTCCATCTCTAGGTAGCAGCACTGGCCCCAGTGCACCGAACTCTCCACCAGGCTCTACCAACACAGGCGATGCTAATGTCCATTAGCACCAGGCACACAGAAGGTCTGGGGGATGAGTTCCGAGCTGGTCTGGAGGTTCGTCTGTCAGTGCTTCTGGGAGCTGTTGTTATGGGAGGAGGTTAGTTTTTCCCAAGACCAGAAATGAAGGTGGCTGATCCCCTCTCCTCCCAACCCCAAGCAGAAGTCCCTGAATAATAATTCCAAGGAGAATTCTGAGTGGATTCCATCAGCCCCTGATATTTCCCATTGCCTCTTCCCAGCCCTCCATCACTGGCCTTTCCTCAGGGAGACAGGCTCTGTGCTTGCCTGACCCTTGAGCAGGCTGTGTCCTGTGATGCAGTTTGCCTGCTTGAGTGGTTCCTTTTAATTCTGGACACCATCTGCTGATATATACTAATTTCCAAGTCAGGTGCTGCCCATCTTTCACCAGGCAAGCTGCATAACAGTGGAGTGATTTGTATTAGGGATGGAGGGAAGTCTGCAGTTCCCTCAGCCCACTAGCAAGGCAGCATGATTTTCATAGAATCATAGGACTGGAAGGGATCTTGAGAGGTCATCTAGTCCAGTCCCCTGCACTCATGGCAGGACTAAGCATTATCTAGACCATCCCTGACAGGTGTGTGTCTAACCTGCTCTTAAAAATCTCCAAGGATGGATATTCCACAACCGCCCTAGGCAATTTATTCCAGTGCTTAACCACCCTGACAGTTAGGAAGTTTTTCCTAATTTCCAACCTAAACTTCCCTTGCTGCAATTTAAGTCCATTGCTTTTTGTCCTATCCTCAGAGGTTAAGAAGAACAATTTTTCTCCCTTCTTCTTGTAACAACCTTTTATGTACTTGAAAACTGTTATCATGTCCCCCCTCAGTCTTCTCTTTTCCAAACTAAACAAACCCAATTTTTGGATCAACTTTACCCAGTTGCACCATGGGCACTGTCCCTGCAGGGGAGCAGGCAATTTGTAGGGTTCGTTACAGCTCTCCACCAGATCCATCCAGCCTCCCGAGTGACCCAGGCATTAGGAAAGGCGAGTGAGATAATCAGCAGGCCTGATGAGCCTCTTGACAGCGCTAAGGAATAAAATAACTTTACACCTTCCTTGAGGAAACTCCCCACCCAGGTCAGTTCACATACCCTGCAGAATAGCTTCTCCAGTCTTCTCTTCCTGTCAAAGCACAACATGTGCAATACACATTGTGGGGAACAGTCCTGCACTGGCCCAGGGGATGGATGAGATGTGACCTTGTTCTTATGACTCCATGGTCCTTGCTCTCCCAGCCGGGGAGAAATGTTCCTGCAATAAACAAAGATTTCACATTGCTATGCTGAGCAGAAATACTCTTTGCATGTGCAAAAGCCCTCCCGCTCCTCTGCCCACCAGGCTGACTCCTACTTGCGGGATGATTTGCAGATTCTGCAGTGGATCCTCTCCACGGAAATCTTTAGTAAAAGGAGAAAGATTTATGCGATCTGGTGCAAAATCCAATCTCATCTTCAAGGTGTGAGGTGGTGAAATCATTCATGTTATTTAGGAAGTGTGGGCTAGTGGGAAGACCAGAGGCCTGAGCGTCCAGACTCCTGTTCTATAGTGGCTCGGCCACTGAGCCGTAATGTAACTTAGGGGGAAATTTTCAAAAGTGGCCTCTGGCTTTGTGTGCCTGGAGCCTGGGTTTTGGAGGTGCTGAGCAACCACAGCTCCAGGTGATGCCAGTGGAAGCCCTGGGTGCTCGACTCCTCTTAAAATCAACCCTAACTTATCTTAACGCTGGTCATCCAAAAATCAAGGCCCCTCCCCACCCAAAAGTAGCAGCTACTCTTGCAAATGCTGCCCTTCTGAGTGCCTCAGCTTCCCCTCACTGTCAGATGGGGAGAAGAACGCTGCCCTGCCTTCGCTGAGTCCTTTGAGATCTGTGAGTGAACTGGGAGCGGGAGAGGGACAGTGTACGGATACATCAGAGAGAGTCCTGCAAAGGACACCAGTGACTGACATCCCATTGTGACCCAAGCTTGTTATTTGGCTTGGCAGTTCACTCCCCAGAACCGTCCCAGCAATATCTGGGCTTCCCATATCTCTGTAGAGACAAAGAACTTTGCAGACACAGAGCAACAAGTCGGCTGATAAGGCTGCTTGTTTATGAACAATACTCCGTGGGGAGAGCGCTCACATCGGGAACACGGTGTGCCAACTCCCCTGGCATACACACTCGAGCTGCTGCCAGTGAATCATCTGCTCTCCTGGCTCGGGAGCATGTTGGGCCCCCCTCATTTAATGTAATCAACGCCAGGAGAAGAGCAGGCGTGGGTGTTTCATTGAGATGCAGGAGTGAGCCGTCCGCTCTCCATCCTGTTGTATCATTTTCCTGCCAGGGGCCGGTGAGTGGATTTCTTTCATTGCCTCTGGGGACTTGGGCAGGAAAAGCCACAATAAACAGGAGCAGAGAGTGAGCTCAGTTCGTGGGGGAGGCGACTCCTCAGATGCACGTCCAGAAACAGAGAGAGGAAAATGGAAGCACCTTGTGCTAATGTCGCGCTGGGGAGAAGTGCCAGGTTGCCAGGGCCTGGGCTCTGATGTTATCTGTTTAACCAGGCAGTAGATCCAGCCCAGGTACAAGCAGTGCAGGTAGGAGTTCTGTGACCCCCCCTGCCACTGCGTGCTCCGACATGCACCTGGCCCAGAAGAACCAGACTGGTTGGCACAGGATCCATCACAGCCACAGAGGCAGGTGTGAGCCTAGATCTAACCCGCGGGCTCGGGATCAAGGCTGAGGAGCAGGACACCCTGCCACCCTGATCCCAGAGGGCCCCGCGAGCACCTGCTCATTTGCAGCTCAGGAGACCTGCAGCGAACAATGACAACTGCCCCCTTGCGCTTTGCTTTGCTTTCAGACCCAACCATGGGTCATCGCATGTAGGGCACAACGGGTCCCCAAGCCGCCAAGTGCAAACGTTCAGGTCAGGGAGGTGGAGAGGATTGGTTGACAAACGTGGATATTGCCCATCAAAATCCAATCTGCCCTTGGGCTGCGCGGCACTCAGCCGAACGACCTGCCTTTCATTGTCCTGGTGCTTTCAGCAGCGTTGTAGGTTTAGGTGCCACAGACTGAGAGGCCATCGATCGCCCTGCAAATGGAAAGCACTGTACTACCTCCTCTTTTACTCACCTCACCTGATTTATGCCCCCCAGAGCTGTGACATATACAGATTGCAGTCTGAGTCCTGGGCAAGAGGCTGTTTGAAAGTACCACATACGCCAAGACTTTCATACCATGACACCAAAACTGTGTACACAGGAAGTGGCATGGAGAGCCTTGTGTTCAAAGCATTGATTTGAGACTCAGGCACTCTGGGTTCAAGTCCCAATCCTGCCACAAATTCCCTGCATGGCCTTGGGTAAGTCACTTATCCTCTCTGTGCCCCAGTTTAGCCATTTATTAGCTCTCTCAAGAGGAGCATAGCAAGAATGAATTCCTGGTTTTGTAAATCACACAGACAGCCTCCGATCAAAGGCGGTGGAGAACGGCAAAGTCTTGTTGTCATTTACTACATATAGTTGCCTCTTTTTGCTCGTCCAAGTTTGGCGCCCAGGGGATGCCCAAGCTGGGAACAGAAATTGCTTCTGGAGTCTGGCTTTGCTTTGACGCAATCCTGCTTATTTACAAGAATAAACAAAGTCCTGCTGCTCCGAATGCAGGAGGAACCAAAGGCAAAAGTGCTGTAGGCAGGGCCGGCTCTACCGTTTTGGCTGCCCCAAGCCGTGAAAAAAAAACTGTCACTGCCGAATTGCCGCGGCGGACGGCAGAAGAGAGAAGCTGCCGTCCGATTGCCGCCGCGGCGGAAACACCACTGCCCCTTTCTGCCTGCCACCCCACGCACCTGCTTGGAACACTGGGGCCTGGGGCTGGCCCTGGATGTATGTGTAGACGTTTTATCTCAGGGTCAAACCATGCTCACAGGCTTCTGCTGCTTCTTCAGGCTGTCTCTGTCTCTCTCTGGTTCTGGGTTCACCTTTTCCTCCCATTCCCCCTCCCATCCCCTGATGCAAAACAATACTCTGCAGCAAAACCCGCTCTGGACACACAGTCCAAATCTCCTGGGTGGGTTCATGTAACCCTTTTCTCTTTGGTGAGGGACTGTGACTAATTATCCTTATAGTTATGTTAATTGAAGGGGTTTGTTCACACCCATCACTCTTAATGAGGCTTTAATTCAGCCCATACCCAGGTTTCGCCCAGCACATAGCAGTATTTTGGACCCTGAAGGGTTGGCAGGTGAGGAGGACAATCTAATCCAAGTCCAATAAAAGAATCCCACAGAGCTCCAGGGCCTCCCCAGATTCAGCCTAGAACCTAGTGTGATGGAAGCATCTTCCACACCCCAGGTGTCCCACGGGTAGCAGTGAACTACTGCAACTTGTCTGCTGTGGTGAAAGCCCTGGTATGACCAGCAATAGCTCTGCCCAGCCCAGCCAGCCCCCTTCCTGGGTGCCACACTCTGCTCTCTAACAGGTCGGCTTGGCAGATATCCTAGCCCACAACAGCTGCTTTGTCCTCCGGTCTCAGTAACACATTCCCTAGCGTTTGGCCTGTGGGTTTAGCCCTGCCAGGCTCTGACCCAGCGTGGGAAATGCCGATCGGGTTACACGCCCTTTCAAGCCCGGCCAGCCCAGCTGCTGCTCGGCAGCTGTGTGCGCAGGCCAGGCCGGGCTCGGAGAGGCAAGGAGCGCACAGGCCACTTTCCCAGCAAGGGGAAGGGGAGCAGGCGGATGACGTTCAGTGTCTCAGGGAGCATGTGCAGCCATCAGGACAGAGCGGGTGACTGTGGTGTCCAGGGTGGAACAAACCCTGCGCCGGTGACGCCCACCTCTTGGCGTGCTCAATAACGAGCGAGCGCTCTCGGGCAACGGCAATTCTGCCCGTCTGCCACAACACCGTGCTACCGAAAGGGGTGGTGGGAGCCGCAGGGTGGCTCCCTCTGCCCAGCCCTCTCACGGGCTACACCAGCGCCCTAGTGCTCCAAACACCACACCAGCCCCCTCCCATACACCACCCCCACCCCCTTCCCCTGCCTCCTAGCCCTCCCGTACACCCCACCCACACACAGCCCCTCCACCCACCACATGGGCCCTGTCTTTTCAGCACCATCCTCCCACAGGCCCCGTCTAGGTACCTGTCTTGTCCCCAGCTGCATTAACACGCCTTCCCCCGCCCCGCCCCAAAGTGTTCTCCTCACCCACCGCACAAGAGGGGCCCCAGCTGCCAAAGAAAACCTGGAGGCTGGTTCCCAGACACTGACCTTTTCCCTACAGTCTCTGACCAGGGTGTCCTGTGAATAATTCTGTGGCCCTAACGTCCAGAGGAGTTTGCGTCCCCCCTCTGACCTGCCATCGCGCCGGTACAAAGCTTCCCCCATTCCCCAGGCCCAGAAATGCTCTGGTGTTGAGCCTGGCTCTGACCTACGCTACCCGGGCCGGGTTTGCAGCGAGCAGGCGCCTAATCCCACCAGCTTGGACCTTTGGACCAGAAGGGGCTGGTCTCCTTTTCCCCCATGCAGAGCCTCACTGTCCAGGTGGGTCTTTCCAGGGCTACTGCTGCCATTGGGATGGGTGTAAAGCACTCGGCATGCTGGAAGGCCACGCTCTCTTTCCACCCAGCGCTGCTGTTGCTGCAGCCGGATGCTGTTTAAACTGCACAGAAAGGATGAGCCGCCCCAGCTGTGGGGCACACAGCCCCCTCGTTTGGCCCCCGGAGATGGCGCAAAACGCTCCTCCAATTACAGTCCTGTTGGACCGATTCCTGCATAACCAACCTTGCCACTGGCCACCCTTCGCTGCCGCCCAGGAAGCCCCATTTTTGATCTCTGCTGAGCTGGCCACTCATGTAAAACTTGATTCCATTTGGATGCACAGAGATCCGGCTGTGAGACAGCATCTCCTGGGACCATAATTGGGCTCAATGGTTCACACCTATTTCTATTATAGGAACTCACTGACTGAACCAACGAAGCGAGATCAGATTCACCATCTGGTTCCACTGAATGGGCTAAATACTGGCCTTCAGTTATACCCGTGCAAGCCACTCCACTGTGGGCATCTGGGTGGGTAGAATGTGGCTCTTTGCATGGGATCTGGGCGTGCATGTGTGTGTCTCTCTGTGTGCGTGCACGCACAGTGAGGGGGCTTTTCTCTGATGCTCATTCCTTTCTACTCATAGTGACATAGAATCGGCTTTATCAGACCTTTGATCCATCCGGCCCAGTTTCCTGCCTCTAACAATGGCCAATGTCTAATGCTTCAGAGGATGCAACTAAAAAATACCATTCAGCATCTATGTTTAGACTGTCCATTTGGTGTAGTTGTTGCTGATTAACCGATTGCCCCTTTTGTGGGTATCTCACACACGACACCTGTCCCAAGGGTAAAAAGAGGGTAAAATCCCAATTTGCACAGCACAGGAAATGTGTCAGTGGGCTGCACTGGAGATGAATCTCCTTCC